GAGCGCGCTCAGAGCAGCGGCCGCTGAGGAGAGGTTTACAGAGCGCGCTCAGAGCAGCGGCCGCTGAGGAGAGGTTTACAGAGCGCGCTCAGAGCAGCGGCCGCTGAGGAAAGCGGAAGGAGGGAAGGCCGATTACCCACACTAACAGCTCACCTGCAGCCAGCCAATGAGTCACTGCATTCTGTCACAAAAGGCTCACAGCTCATTCATCTTCTATACCTGTTTGTCCTACACAGAGTCTGGAGTCTATCCAGAGAGCTACAGGCGCAAAACAGGCAATTACTTAGGATGGGGCGCCAACCCCTTCGAACACACTAGACATACCTAAGGGCAATTTGGCAATCTGTGGGGGGGGGGGGAATATGGAGAATCTATCGGAAATCCCATGATAGCACGGCGAAAACATGCAAACATGCATTACTGGATCTGCACCTTGGTGGTGAAATGAACCATGAGGGCCCAGAGGTCAGTACTGGTGGATACATATCAATCCAAGGGCCCCGCTACCACAGTCAGAGTATTCACTAATGGCCCACGGGGGCGGGGCCTGGGGGGTGCGGGAAACACTAGTGATCAGGAAAGAGAGCTCTGTGAACTTGGTTTGAACCCTATCCCCTAATATGCAGCCTTCACCTCAGTCTGGCGTTTTGGGTATGTGGTGTTTGGTCTTTGTAGCTCTGGTGAGATGTGATTATTTGTGACTTCCTTGCACGCACTCCTCCCGGCACCCGCACGGCCACTGCCCACAGGCACAGAAAGCTCCGGGATTTCGGCGTGGCAGAACAAACATCTGGAGCAGTCCTGCATCCGAGTCGACCCTGTGGCGCTATGAAATGAGCTGCACCCCCCACCCCCAAACCAGATGGCTTAACTCACTTAACAGAGCCTGCAGGGCAAACGTGGTAATCCGCGTGTTTGAACCAGCACGCCGAGGGACCGTGGGATCATTCTGTTACTCTCTCCTGCTCGGAAAGCCTCCATCTGCCGTACAAAATCTTACAGCTTAGCAGAAAGGCAGGACGTCACCTTCGTTCCACGGGCCGTCGGCAGCTAATTATCCCAGTCAGCCCCTCACCTCCCAGAACATTCCAGAAGAAGATTGGGGGCAGTAAGAAGACTGAGGCAACATCAATCTAGAGACGTGAGGCTGCCATAAATCCTACTGTATCTGGTCACAGACAGCAGCTTCCTGTTTGGACAGGAAGTGACTGTTTATGCAGCGCGATGGGAGAGGAACAGTGAGAGACGGGGCATCGCTTACGTTGGTCTGAGCCACCATCGGGTTTCCCAGGTCACACAGCACCGTGCGGGTATCATTCTCCATTCGGTACTCGCAGTTCAGCCTCTGCAGGTCCTGCCAGCGGCAGGGGTGGGGGGGAGAAAACACAGCACAGTGATAAATTAGCCAGCAGCAAAAGTAACATACATCATGGGGCCATCAACTTCACTTTGCCCATTCATTAGCGACTGCTACTTTGTGACCAAACAATGGCTCTTATCGCTATCAAGACGGGCACCGACCCCAGTCGCCAGGCTCCTTTGACCTCTAATGTTGGTAAATCACCCCCAGCCCGCCATTCGCCAAGGCGCACGCCTACCACCTAATTGCTTAATTACTCCACAAAAGAAGTCAGTGAAACATAAAAACAAAAGGCGCATTGATTTAGCGAAGCAGAAGTGACAGGGAGGTTCCCATTAGTTACTAAATGCTCCATAAATATTTCAGGATTGGGAGGGGAGTGCTGATCAATATCTGGTGACCCTCGTTTGACATAACATGGAGACAGCAAAACAACAAACTCCCATTACGCCATGTTAAATTTACGACACCGTAAAACTGTTACATTAGGAAAACTGCTGCAAGAACTTCCAGAAAACGTAAGTTATCCTATGAATCGAGAGGCTGAAATTTGCAATATTTCCCATGTTATATCAGGAAGACGTATGATTCACGCATGAGTTTGTAATCTCATCATTATCTGCTATCTTCGGCAGACAAAGCTGGATCCAGTCTTTCAGTTTTTTGGACAAGAGTGATTTTAAGAAAGACGAGGTGTGGAATGAAGGTCAGGTGGGTTTTTTCAAGCCACCCTGGGCTGTACTGGAGAGGAGCACGTTAGTTTGATTAACCATCCCGTAAGCATGCAGAGGTAAACCACAGGATCAGATGCCTGCAGACACGCTCAGGAGGGTGGAGGAGGGTTTTTGGTTGGGGGGCTCGTTCTTCCACAGACACGCCTTATTCTCCAAGCTGGTGTGGTTCAGGAGATGTTCAGGAGCTGCTTCCTCAGAGCTTCTTTCAGGAGTCCCCTGATCGCTGACAGTCAAGGCTGATAAGAGCACAAAACTCTACGAGTTATGGGGGATGAGTAGAAGGAGCCGTGTGTTAGTGGGGGAATCAGGAGGCCACTGTGGGGGTCTGTTTGGGGGTCACTGTGACATCCTCTGTGGGTCAGCACCATGAGAGGCACCCTGGGGAAATGGGTTAAAGGTCATGATCTGAAGGTCATTATACACACCGGTCATAGATGGGGCTCTCGACTCTGCTCCTGGTGGACAGTGGTTCATGTGGCTTTAACCCACTCCCAACCTCAGCATGGTGTGGGGGGGCAGACTGGTTAGACTAGAGGTTAGTTTAAACCCAGAAGTGCCTCAGAAACTTCAGACTGCTCAATGTGCGGCTCATGGGATGGGCAGGTAAGTGCTCAGGTTTGGGGGGGTCACCTCGCGTCGGCGCTCCACTCCGACGTAGTCGGCCTCGGCAGGGATGACGACACGCAGCTCGGCCTCGTACGCCCCCTCGCCGCCGTTGGCTGCGTGGATGGTCAGCATCAGCGGGTTGTCATCACCGATGACCAGCTGCTCTCGGTCCCTGCATGTCACACACCGCAAGCCAGCCGGTGACAAGCTGCCCCCTCCGCACCCCGGGGGGGTTCGCGACCCAGTACATATTCCCATACGTCTGTTTCATAAAAACAGGCTTATCAAATATCCTGAGAAACCCCCCCCCCCCCCCCCACCAATATCCTGCGAGCGACAGATATATGCTTTGTTCTCACACATGTGAACTTGGGATCGTGTATAATTCCGAAGGAGCTGCGTGCCGTTAGGTTTATGGGACATGGCTTTCCGCTGGGCTGACTGTCACACAGACCCCCCACGGCCCCCCCCAAGGACTCACATGGTGGCGGACAGCTGCAGGTCAGGGATGCATACATTGTCCTCCCCACAGTCCAGAAGAATGTTGGCCTGGGGGGCGAGGGGAAAGACCCATATGAGTTCTGGGGAAGATCTCTGCGAGGTCCCTGGTCACGCCGGATCCCACACTCACCTGCTCCTGAACGAAGGACCTGCCATAATAATCCAGGATGGGCCGCAGGTCCTGTCCGGGGGGGGTCCTCGTCTCATCCAGACTGAAGTTGAGAGCAACGCTTATGGGGGTCAGCTTGTCCCGGAACTCGCTGTCCTCCTGGGGACGCGGGGGGGGCGCATGTGTTTCAGGTGCTCATTCCGAACTCCATGCTGACGGCGGCTGCATTTCATTACCGCGCGTTTGAGATTTCGCGGTTTTAACAGCCTTCTGTTTTGTTGCCGGCCTGGGAAACGTGCAACCCCACTGCGACTCTGGTCTGGCGTTAATGCCGCAGCTCTGCAAACAGCAGTTATGCAGCTGTTTGTTTACAGTTACGCTTCTCACTGGTCATGGGGCTGTTGGGAAATCCACCATTCATGCAAGATGATGCTGATGTCCTACTGAGAGCCATCCAGTCATGCTGCAGCCATTTAGCATGGACAGGGCTGTGACAGGGGGGTACTGAAGCTCATTATAGGAAGCAGAGTACACCCTGGATGGGATGCCAGTCCATCACAAGACAAGCTATAGGTGATATAGAGACAGCAGTTAGCCTAAGTAAGCAGCTCCCCACTGAGCTGCACTGCTGCCCAGGAGTGATATTTACTTATGCAAATTAACGGGAATTCAATTCAGTTCCATTCAATTGATTTGATTTGATTTGATTCGATTCAATTCAGTTAAATTCAATTCAATTCAATTGAGTGATTTTTATATAGCACTTTACATGGGTGTGTTGTGATACAATACATCAGGAAATACATCAGTACGTGGGATTTTCTCTGTTAAGAGGTCAAATCAAGGTCAAAGTATCTTTACTGACATCTACAGCTGTATGAGCCATGGGTGATATGCTGGATGAAATTATGGTCTTGTTGGACAAGGTGCAAAAAAAATAAATAGTGATAAAGAGAATATAAATGTGAATATGAAAGATCTGACGATCTGACAATTTAAACACGACCTGCTGAGACACGGATGTAAGACATCAAAAAATAGAATCTAAAATATCCCAGGGTACGATGTAGCCATCAGAATATGGTCTCGAGCAGACTCTAAAACTGTGTTTCCCAGTTCGGTCCTTGGGGACCCACAGACAGTCCACATTTTTGCTCCAGACGATTTGGCAGGGAGCTTGAAGTGAGCAAAAACATGGACTCTTGGCCAGGGAGCAAAAACGTGAGTCCCTGAGGACCGGATTGGGAAACATTGCGCTAAAGAGCCCAGGAAGCTCTAGGAACGACCAGTACAGGAGTAGCTGAGGACTCCTACCCTCAGGTAGACGGTGAAGCTGTGACACGCCTGCCTCTTCCTCTCGTCGATGACAAGGGTCCCTCGATACTGGTGCTGATGGGTGTCGAGGAAGAGGACCCTCTTGATGGCACCTTTCTGCTTCAACCAGTCCAGCTGCAGCTCCACGTTCAGCGCTGGGGAGCACATGGACGGGGGGCGTGAGGGACACTCCCACTGCTGGGCAGGGCCAGCCCGGGGGGTCGCCTTGGGCCTCGCATGCTTTCGATTAGCCCTCTTCAGAGGGTACATACCATCATGCCTTCTGGAAACTATACATCTGCACAATAGCTGCATTTAGAAACACTACGGACACAGAAGCTATTCTGTTTGAGATTTACACATTTTTCCTACTAGATTTTGAAAGTTGTTCCAGCCTCACCTTCTGCATTTTACTACGTGCTTTATGCAGTATGATTTATGTTCCTCCTACACACCTCCGGACTGTCTGGACTATGGTATTCACGTGGTGCGTATTGATAATATGTTTGCTAATTCTATTGCACAAACTCTTTAATGAGGTTTTTGCACATATGTGCTGCATATCTTATCACTCAGGTTTGGGGGGGGGGGGGGTATGGCCTCCAGGCTGGTCTTACCTACTACTCCAGGGATACCAGAGCCAGAGGCCTTAGTGCAGATGTTCACATTCAGGCTGCAGGGCGGCAGAAGACAAAGAGAGGCAATTAAGGGCAGCTCCTGCATCCAGGCCACACCCACTAGATGGTGACCACAAGCAGACCAGCGCCAAACTCAAAGCCCCTTGTGCTGATCTCCCTCACAAGCAGACCAACGCCCAAACTCAAAGCCCCTTGTGCTGATCTCCCTAACAAGCAGACCAGCGCCAAACTCAAAGCCCCTTGTGCTGATCTCCCTCACAAGCAGACCAGCGCCAAACTCAAAGCCCCTTGTGCTGATCTCCCTCACAAGCAGACCAGCGCCCAAACTCAAAGCCCCTTGTGCTGATCTCCCTCACAAGCAGACCAGCGCCAAACTGAAAGCCCCTTCTGCTGGTCTCCCTAACAAGCAGACCTGACCGAGACATCTTACACATAGCTCCTGTCGTCCTGCAGAGCAGCTTCTGAGAGCTTTAAGGAAACATCAGCAGTGCTGTTAATCACCGTAAACTTCTCGGTTAGGAATGAGGCAGATGGACGAGTCGGGACGCCGTGGGAAAGAGACGAAGGTCTAAGGAGAGGCAGGTAGAGCAGTACAGCTGCAGGCCAAGCTAAGAAGAGCTGAAGAAACACAATAATACAACAAAATGATCTATTTGGAAATAATGTAAACCAACTGCCATGTCAGACACATGACGGTCCGGGGGGGCAGACCTCAGGCGTGGGGTGAGTTAGAACAGGCCGTGAGTCCTGATTTATAGATCGTCTGCCGAGGAGGGGACACACTGGGGGATCTTGAGCAGCACAGGGCCCCCCAGACTAGGATCAGGTGGGTTTGGGTGGCGACAGGCAGGCCAAACCCCAAACCCCCCCCAAGTAAAGAAGAATGTAGCTGTCCAGCAACATGACACCTGTGTCTCGGTGTGGGACGGCGAAGCATTGACCGAAAACACGATAAACAAAGATAAAGCGTGTAATTTAAAACTGTTAAGTGTAAACGGCGGCACGAGCTCCGCAGGGAGAGCACCGGCCTAAATATTTAATGAAATAATTTTCTTACGTGCTTATGGTTGGATAATTGCCCACTAATGGCTTCCAGGGCAGTCTGAGGCACAATTAGGCCGCTGCGCGCTGAGCGCTTCCTGTCAGGGGGGGGCTATGTGAGTCCTATGGGGTCAGGGGGTGTCCAGGCCCAGGGGCTGAGCCCTTATCGGCCCGAGTATCAGCGGGCCCCAGGAAATGGGCTCCTACACGGTGAGGGAGCACAATTAATGGCCAGGAATTTAATAAGAGCTCGTCGGGGGGGTGGCTTCTCACTCGGGCTGTGCTCTCCAGCTCATGCCCCCCCCCCTCGACGCAGCGCGCCAATCGGATATCGGCGCCGTTTTCATGGATTATTAAGGTCACGAAATGTGTGTTTCCACGTTTGTTTGATTGCGTTTGCATTGCAAAGCCACAGCCCGACGTTATCTTAGCGACAAATAAACAGCAAGAACAGAGATCGCCTGTCGACAAGCTGAAATCACGCCGGCGTCCCGTCGGGGCAAAGCTGGGAGGTGCATAGGAGCAGCTTCTCCTGCTCGATGCATTGCATGCGATGTGGGACAGGCCCGGGGAAAAGCATGCGTCGGTGTAATCCTCGAGTAAACTGACCATTGCAAAACAAGGAAATGGGGCCCGAGGGATTCCAGAGGCGGTCAGAAGAACCTTCAGTCCCGTTAGCCGGTGCTGGTCGTTAATGTGTGCTGAGGTCAGCAGGACATGGTCCTAGCAGGGGAACCGAGGTGGTCGTCCGGGGAAACATGCCTGAAGAAAGGACCCCGCTGTACACAAACCGATCTGCCGACGGGGGGCAGGAAACCCTGGGATTATTAGGCTTCAGGGTTGCAGGAGGACCATTCCGCCATCTTCCCGGGGACCGGGGACATCCCCCCCCCCCCTTCTATTAGGACAGAACGCTTCCTCAGCAGCCAGATGCAAACAGATGGCTGCAGATCTGACCCAAGAATGACAAAATATCCCAGCTGACAGAAGAAAGAAAAACTGAATGCTGGTGGATACAGACGCCTCAGAAGATATGAAAAGTTGATGTTGTGGCAGCTGCAAAGTCCGAGAGGTTCCTGAATCTGAGAAGGTCGCTCTGTACGGCCACGGCCAGCGCAGAAGTCCAGCAACGTCCTCAGCAGTCTGGCATAAAGCCACACTATCAGAACTATACATCACCCATAATTTCATAAATCGGTTTGTCCAGAAAGTCTTTTCTTTGTTTTGGTTTTAACTATATTTTGAGAAAATACAAAAGCATTCCATGAATATTTTGATTCATTCAAATAATTTATATTACGGGTCTCTAATGCTGCAAATCGATTTTCATTGTTCACCACTGGAAATACTGGGACTTCAACTGGGACCACAAGCAACAGCTTTCCAGAAACCAAGCGAAACCAGTTCAAAGACCCTGCTGGGAAATTCCATTACCGCTATAAAATGTGAGACCCCTGTTGCGGTCAGGGTGCCAGTTGGATTGAAGGGATCAGAGCAGCGCTGGTCTGCTGTGGTCTTTGGTGAGATGGCAGTGTCTGTGCATTTGCAGAACAGACCCTGCCCCGAGGCCTGAGAGTCTTCCTCAGGGCAGCATGTCATTAAAGTACCCCCCCCCCCCCCCCACCCCCCGGGACTCAGTCATGGAAGGGGTGGGATATTAATGGGGTTAAATTATTCCCCTGCCGAGGACGGGCTGTTTCACCTCTGGGGTGGCCAGTACATTCCTCTGCAGGGAGCTCAGCACCGGCATGATAACCCCGAACTCACGCCACCTTCCTTCTCTCTCTCTCTCTCTCTCTCTCTCTCTCACTCTCTCTCTCCCTCTCTCTCTCTCTCTGGATGTACGGTTCAGCTCAAAAACACACAGTGAACAAGATCCTGAGGTTAACCGCCCACCCCTCCAGCTCTGTTTGTCAGACCATTCAGAAATGCAGCCCCCCCCCGCCCCCCCCCAACCTCCACAATCCAGTGCTCTTTTCGCATCTAACAAGGCAAAACTTTTGTTTTTGCAAATGTCTTTGCTCCAGCGCTGTTTGTCAGGATGCCTGAAGGCCGCTCATCTCCGGCGCCAAGTCTCTGAGGTATTCCATGCGCACGGTCACGAAACCCTCCAGTGCCTGAGCCAGACCCCCAGGGGGGGGGCTTCCAGAGGACCGTCTCCCACACTGGCAAAAACAACAATGTCGCTGCACCATTTCACCATAAGCGTCCGGCCCTCGCTGGTCAGGTTCTGCAGGTCAGTGTTTCTCAGACCAGTCTTTGGGGGCTCACTTAGGGAGACCCCCCCACACTACCCAGGGTGCTCCCCCTCTCACACATCCACACATATCAATGTTCAGCCAGGTTCTCCTTCCTGATGGTGGATGGAGACCTAAAAACTCAACCATCTCACAGCCCCAGTTCAGCTCCTCTCTGCTGAACTGCTCCATGTCTCTGCATTTCAGTCAAACCAGGCACCCCTCCACCACTGGGAGGGGGTGGTATGATCCAGCACGGCCCCCCATCCCCGGCTCTCACCAGGATACGGCAGTGTCCGTGTTGGGCAGGTGGCAGTTCTTGTCCTCAGGGTTGAGGATTCGGGGGTTGAGGATCATCTGGGAGTCCAGAGTGACCACAGGCCGAGCTCTGCAACGAGCCCCACTTCTGTTAAAGGCGTCACGCTGACAGAGCCCCTTGAATTCAATCAGCTACACATATAGATGGTCAAGTGTGGGCAGCATGAGGTGAGAAACTTCCGTGGAGATGTGCACACGCCGTGTAAATGTGCACACGCCGTGTAAATGTGCACGGGTTGGGCCAATACACACATGCTGTGGGTGTCCAGGACCGAACACTTACAGACAGATGTGATTGTAAAGCCTCTCGAGTTTCTGCACGAGACCTTTCTAACGACCCTGCTGTGAAAGCAGCGGTTTAACACTTTCTGAGAGATGGTCAGCACTTATGTTTTAGACATATTTAATATATGTTAATATATGTTTTAGACAAGAAGTGTTTACTAGCTGGGGTAAGTTATGCTAATTTACTAGCATGTTGAGCGTTATTTTAGAATACATTTGGAAAGTGATGGGTCACATAAGGGTTTCTGCCTCTGAATTACACAATTACCAATGTTCAGGCACAAACACCAGAATTCTGGTGCCTTTCTGCACTGAGACACTTACAATAAGCTGCTGGCAACATAACATGTCCGATGTGAAGAGCTATAGAGTAACATGCCCCTCCAATGGACTGGGAGAGCCTGAGCAAAGTCGGAAATAGTTCACATATCTTGGCAGCTGTCCTAATGAGCAGAGTGTGTGTTTATCGTGTGTGTCAGTTGGATGAGGACCTGGCTTGGGATGGAGATCCACAGGGGGGCAAAGACTCAGCCTGTCAGGCCTGTGAGATGTTCATCAATGCGTCCTACCTGTAGACCACAGCTTTGTCCACGCCAAAAGCCCCGACAATCAGGTCTGGGGGGGGAGGGGGGGAGAGAAAGAGTATGAGCTTCAAAGACAGCCACAGCTGGGACTCATTTCGGGGTCTCCAGCGATCGTCATCCGACACAGACGCCTCACGCTTTTGTGATTTTAAATAACTGTAGTCTCTCCTTATAAACACGTGATGCTTACGTGATGCTGGATTTATTATCCCCGAAGAATGTGCATTATTCCTACATTTCCCAAAATTAACCAATTTTGGCAATAATTTCTGTATAGGGACACATAGAATACCACACAATACAAGGATAATTACGGACATTCGACATTCACACAATCATGTTAAAGTTTGTATATCGGTTAGTGGAACTTGGTTATTTCACACATAAAGATATTAATTAAGACACAAAAAGCTTGAAGTTTGTTTAATGAATGTTGAGAGATCAGCAAAGCTGGCTTCAGTAACCTCAGATATGTTTCACTGCATCGACCAAAAGGAAACAACTATATTGTTGAAAGTAATGTGATTTACTAAACCAATACAAGAACTGGGAAGAGTGTAACGCTGCTATCGGCTAGGCTAACAGACTAAAGCGAAAACCCCAGCTTGTGGTTTGCTGACTTTGGCACGGACACTAAGTGAGAGTGACATCTGTTTCAGTCATTAAAATCATCCCAATGAGTGGCGCAAGATCTCCCGATATTTTAACCGCGTGTTTACACGGCTAACCCTAGAATAAACGTGGCCCCTTCCATGTCTTTGCCAGTTCCGTTCGTTTGTTTGGCAATAATGTGATTAATTACGTGGCTCGCTGTGTTTTGATTGGTGCTTTTTCACAGACTCCCCAGGTAAGTTGGGAGAGTTGACAGGCCTCCTGGCGCCCGCGTTCGGAACAGTCCCTTAAACGGCTGCAGAGCTGGACCACAGCGCAGGGGAAGGGCTGTGGTATCGCTTGCAGAAATACCACGCCACTGGCCAGCAGACACAGGCTTCCAGTGCCGTCGGCGTTATGAAAAAGCTGCATTTCTTAATATGCCAATGCAGGGGGCAAAAAGTTAGCATGAACTGGAGGGGAAAACCAGCACATCCACGTCCGCGTGATGAATCGGAGGACCTCTCAGACTGACAGGGAGAGACCAAAACATTAAACATTTTGCCTCAAACCCCTGCTGTTCTGGTGAAGAAGCCTTCTAAAGCAAAGTAAGACCTCTGCGTTTTCGGCGGTTGGAAGGGCAGAAGTCCCAGGGAAGCGGCTTTTGCTGAACAGGCCTGCTAAAGTCATCCGGCGAGGTGCGAGATAATCCCTTTACCACGTCCATGCCTCAGGGCCGCAGGGAGCGAAACTCAACCTTGTGTTTAGAATGAGGAATTCGGCCCTGTTTTCTCTGCATCCCGACTTTTCCATTTGAGGGAGACGTCAACGCGTGCTGCTCTAAGTAAATATGTTGACGATCTATAACCATGTTTATCGCCGGGGGAAGGAATGACCGGTGGCACTGGAAAGGCCCTCTAGGAGAAACTGCGACGGAGCACCTTCATCCATCAGGCTGAGATCACCACCTCCTCATCTGGCAACATCTGCCATCAGAAAGATCCTCGCTGCCAAATTTATGACTGATTCACTTGACAGACAAAACTCTTCTCCCACGTCACTGTTTCCGGTTTCTTTGGCAGATTAGCATTTTTACCCACATTTCACTGGAGCTGTTGAGCTTCAGGGGCTACAGCAGTAGCTTTCCTGGAACCCGGACCGGATCAGATTGGTTACTGGGCTGCTCTATTCAGAAGGAGGCGGTTAAGACCCCGGCGTTTGTAGCTGGGCCTGGGACATGGAACATTCCGGTGTGAGTGAGTGCCAAGGCCCGTTGCTGCCGTGTTGGGACGCTTCGTTAAATGTTGGACCTATTTTAGCTCCACCCTCCTTTAGAAAGCTGCTCGGGGATCTGTCTGACCCAGTAGGGAATACATTTCTTAATTTAAGTACATGTTTGCCTTTTCAAAATCCATCTGACATTGAGAAGGGACTTAGTCTGTATCTGACGGGAAGAAAACGAGACACAGCCTGTATCCTCTGACCTACATGACTGGGCTGAACCGGCCATCTCTCGTATTGGCCATTTTCTTGGTTTGCCAATGGGTATGTGGGCCAGCAAAATGTATTGTTGGGGGGGGGGTCCTCCGCTTGGGAAAATTCATCATGGAGTCATGTGGAAGTCTAGTTTAGCCCTGGGACAGTGGGACCTCAGACAACCTCAGATTCACAGCACATTTGGTTCCCAGTCTGGCCAGGCTCTGATCAGCGAGCACACCCTGACGTTGGGGAGGGGTCTGATTAAAGGGAGGAACCGGCTGAGTTTCGGTCAGCCGTGTCCGCAGTACCACTAGGGAAGCGAGCGTACTGAGTCCATTTATGGTTACTGGGTCCATCTCTACCATCAGCACATAAAGGTCATTAAAGTCTGATGTACTGGGACAGGCTGGTACACAAAGGGACCTCGATGACCCAGGACAACAACAGACTGACTTCTTAAAAACACATCTGAAACTGACATCAAAACCATTTTAAACTGGTCTGTAGCACTTTGATCAAACTTAGGAAAGAATATTATACCATTATATAGGAGTTTATATAAGCATATATATTTTACCACATCAATGGCAAGCTTATATAACCTCTGTTCTTACGTAGCTCATGCACCGATCAAAGATAAGACTTTCTTTGAAACTGGCCACATTGCCAGACTGCTAATGTAAAATGAATGAAACAATCTCAACCAGAAATCAAACTTTGATTGAAAAGCCACCCATGAGTTTTAATTAAGCCTCCCCTGCAATCCCAGAATCCCCTGCTTCATTTAGCCCAATTTAATCACGGCTTTTCCTGAAGGCCGCAGAAGGGCATGAGGAGTGGAGTTTTAATGGCAGGTGGTCCAGCGGTCAAACAGCTAGCCTTTAGGTCCACTAGGGTTCCTTCTGTTCTACCCTCAACCCAGAGTATAATTCGAAGTGATTTCGTAAAAAATACAGCCGTACAAATGGATTAAACTACAGGAAGCTTAGGTCTCTTCACAAGAAGTGTGAACCAGTAAATGCTTCAGTGAAAGCTGCCAATCTGGATCGCTGTGGATCCATGTGAAGATGCGGCTCGATCCAGCCACATTCTGCACGGCACAAATAAGGAGCCCGGCTTCCTGTTTGTGCAGCCAAAGATCTGAGGAACTGTGTTATTATTCCATAATTAAAACCCAAATATTTCAGACCAGAATCCACATTAGCAGGCCAATCAAAGCCTCTTCAATCTGGTGGAAAAATAATCCTGTAAAAGGGCTCATTTCGAGACCAGATTTCCTTTAATTACCCGGCAAGTACACATGCTATGCATTACATGATTTAAATACATGCAATTTTGCCGTCCTGTGCCTCTACAGGCGCAGATGTAACTCTGAACCCTGTGATCACAGGTAATTATTAAAATGTGCTCCGATCACGCCTCAGAAGAGACTGTGACTTTGTCATTTACGAGAAGGAAACCTGTCCCAAATATTCACCAAAGTAGAGGTTTCCCTTTAACTTGTTTTTAGTTTTTAACAAATCTGTTGTTCACCATAATTCACACATAAATAGGTACTTTGCATCATACAGTAATATCATGAGTGGCACTGCATTGTACTGAAATTAAATTGAGGTGGACTCATATACTATGGAAAACTGGTATATTGTGTGTCAATATCCTCATGAACCATGTAAGCTCCACACTAACATCATCCGTGTTTTTACAGTGAAGCGGCAGTGTCCACATTCCAAAACACTCGAGCTGCATGGTCTGAACTGCGCATTTCCCACTGCAGTGTCCCGATTTCACAGGCCCATTGCAGTTGCATTTACCGATGCATTATGGTGCAGCCAGATCACGCCTCTCTGAGAGTGAGAAACAGGAGCCATCAAAGGGTGTGAGTTTTCCCCTGGATGGTGTCATACTACACCAGCACAAGGTAAAGCCATTTTGACCAATTCTGGGGGTTGGGGGGGGGGGCTCTCCTTGGATAATAACTGGCCAGTGGAGACTCCCGCGGGTCGACGGTGCGAGAGCCAGCGACTGATGCTCCTGTCTAGAGGAGACCAAGAGGCCTCACAATTTGCCACAAACCACAAAACCAGACAGCAAAAAGATCAAGCGACCAAATAGAAAATGATGTAAGAAAATATGGTATGTTAAAAAGCAGCACCTGCCAGTCTCCTGCGCGTTTCAATGCGACGTTTTGCACTCTTTCCTGTGTAGAGGCACTAATGCATGGAAAGCTGAACATGCTGCCCTTTGAAGCTGCAATTGGGGCCATAAACTACGTCCATGTCTTTACAGCCCCCCCCCGCTGCAGTGGAGGTCACACTTGTCCTTTGGCCCTCGTCTAGCCGGCGCGTGATGACTTTCTCAGAGCCGGGATGGGGAATGGGAATTGCGGAGGGGATCAGGGTATGGAACTTTCCAGAAGATGCACCACTCACCTGGATAGTCATTCCTGTCCAGGTCGGAGCCCCCCCTCAAGGTGAAGCCGAAGCCTGCGGGTGTGCTGGTGGACGCCCAGCTGCCCTCTAGCATCTGTGAGGGCTTCAGCTTCAGACCGCTGCTCTGCCCGTTGTAGATGAAGACCCGGCCCGTGTGGTCCTCGCCGGCGAAAGGAGCCCCCACAGCGACGTCTGGGGCGGGGGGAGACATGAAAGCCTTCAGCGCAACCTTCAGTGCAGCCAGCGTAGTTTTGCAGGCACCCTGGGGGCTGGGAAATGCTTGGTTCTGCCCTAAGCTGAGTCCCTCTAAGCTGAGTCCCTCTAAGCTGGGTCCCTCTAAGCTGGGTCCCTCTAAGCTGGGTCCCTCTAAGCTGAGTCCCTCTAAGCTGGGTCCCTCTAAGCTGAGTCCCTCTAAGCTGGGTCCCTCTAAGCTGAGTCCCTCTAAGGTGAGTCCCTCTAAACTGGGTCCCTCTAAGCTGGGTCCCTCTGAGCTGAGTCCCTCTAAGCTGAGTCCCTCTAAGCTGGGTCCCTCTAAGCTGAGTCCCTCTAAGTTGGGTCCCTCTAAGCTGGGTCCCTCTTTCTTGAGCAGCCCGGCCATATAGGCCAACACCAGCCTGCAATTTCCAAAGCATGCGACCAAAACTGACGGCAGTAATGCATAACCAGCATAAAACATTCAGGAGCTCACTGTCAGAGGCAAATCCACTAATAACATCTGTAATTTGCCTAAAAGCAGCCACTTCCTGTAAGTAACTGTGTCTGACATGCTTGGCAGGGCACAGCGGTGGGGCTGTCTGCTGGTGAGATCACCGCATTTGTGATTATGGTTTGCATGGTATTGTGGGTAATGGTTCTACTGTGAGGTTACAGTCTCTCATTCTGCTTAAAGGTCACCGGGCCCAAGACGTAGCAGCAGAGCTAATGCAGAGATCCTATTCATCTCACAGCTTTTATGAGAAAAGTAGCTGAGCTCTTGGCAACGCTGAACAAACAGTGCGATGTTATGAAGATCATCTGAAAAGTCCCAGCTGCATCACACGGGGCTGGATGCATCACTTTATGTTCAGTGTTCATCACCTCACTGTGCATGTTAATGCTGAGCCGTGGGAGGGTAAAGTCCATCATTCAGGCCTGGGGGTGTCCAAGCTTTTTATAACAAGGGACCCCCAAATAAAAAGGGAGGGGGGACTCCTGGCCCCTGAGTGGGGGGAGTCCCCATTACCATTTGGTGCATTGCATGAATGAGACAACAATGGCAGCATTTAATCACTTTATAATCCATACCTGTGGACCCTGTACCTGCCCTGCAGACACCCCAGGGATGGACCCTCTACCTGCCCTGCGGACACCTTTTCCATTTTCTACACTGTGGTAAATGCTGACAGGAAGCTGCCGTCCCTCACTGAGGACGTCTCTGCTGTGTGACATCAGCTGCCCGACAGCGCTGTGTGGGGTTGCGGGGGGGTGGGTGGGGGGGTCAGATGACTTCCAGAGGTCCCCCCTCGTTAGACTGATGTTTTACACGATGACTCCACTCAATGCTACTTGCTAAGAACAAAGAAAAGATCCAGATGTGCTGAAAGCCAGCAAGATGTCCAGCAGCAGAGCATCCCGCTCCTTCAGATGGTTTTTTCATTTCACATTTTTTAACAAAAAAACAAAACCCTGGTATGTAGCTCATAAAACTAATGACGCACTGATTGCACCAGCAGAGATGTACAGATGGGATCCATTTAGAGAGCGTTTCGACTCAATATGAATATTTTGAAACTTGTTAGTGCCAAGGGTTTGTAAAAATAGCTTTATATTTTTAAGACTTAATCATGCACCTGTGAGTAAGCAGAAAGCTTCCATAATTGGCCTGAAGTTTTTATTTGACTTATTTATCTCAAGAATGATCAGTGTGATTTAGGATTGCTGCAGTCTGCGGGACCAAGACATCTGATTGGTTGGCCCCGCCTCTTCTAGTTCCTTGGACCCACTTCCTCTACAATCTGATTGGTTATCTCTCTGGACCAATCTCTTTTTTTTTTTTCCGTTCTGCCCTCAGAAAAATTTTGTGTAAGTAAAACTCCCATGAACTATTCAGCTGGCTTTCGAGATGTGGTGTGCCGTCCATCCTGTTTGCGCCAGTGCTTCCATGGCACAGCTCTTACTTCCTTGGAAAAAGCATTAGGTGCTGAACCTCATATCTCACAGGAGTGCATGTGACCACTGCAGTGACTCATTAAACACCGATCAGAATGCCATGCGGCCAGTTATAGCCAGCTCTATATTCCAAATAGGGCCCAGAAACACACGTGTGCCCCTCGGTCGCAGGAACCCTCTAGACGATTAAACGGACCTAGGAGGCCTCATGGAAATCCAGGATGTCTATGCGCACAAAAACATCTGGACGGCGACAACAGTGAGACACAGCCTTCTGTTCCGCAAGGGCTTCTGAGAGCACAGAAGTGTGTGGTGGTAGTTAGAAAAGCTTGTTGAGGGTGATTTGAACAGCCAACCAAAAGCTAAAATCGAATTAGCATGGAATGCTAAGCTAAGGGCAATGGCCTACCGTGAAATCCGTCCTGGTTCAGGTCTCCCAGGGATGCTATGGAGCTCCCGAAGCGGCCGAACACATCCGTGCCAGATAGGACGATGGGCTCGGAGAAGAGCAGCAGGTCCTCCTGGAGGTAGATGTAAACCCGGCCCAGCTCCCGGGGCTTGCTTTCAAACTCCCGGTCCATGTAGAGTGGAGCACCCACCAGGACGTCATCCAGGCTGTCGAGTGAGATGGAACACACTTTCTTGTTTGTTACTGTGATGAGCGATATTCACGGTGAATTGCCAGCACATATTGGGGTAAACCCGAGCGTGGCTGCCTGTAGCGGCATGGTGCTCCGGTGAGAGCTCTTATTATCGGTGACACGTCACGATTGTTAATTCCGGGAGAGGAACTGTTCTCATCTGGCTGGCCGATGAACATGCTCCGGACGATTTGCACTGGGGGCTCAACACCAGGTCTCTAACCTGAGCTTTGAGCTAAATGTTGTTGGCTTTCAGGAACGAGGACACTTTCTTTTGTCCCACAAAACCAGAAAAATGAAGTGACAGTTGTTCCAAGAGAGGATTTCTTGAATTTTGCCCCACATCATCCAGCTTCTAAGCATTATGTTATGTGCAAGACCAACTTCATGCCTCTGGTGAAAACTCCCCTTGGATCTGCTCAGGGTGCTCTGTTCAGATGGGCCTAAGAATGGAACTGTAGCACATCGAAAAGCATCCTTGCCACCAAACACCACAGAGCCACGACAAAACCCATTCCAAGGTTACCGAGGACTGTCCCTAGCGGAACGCCTCGTCTTGGCAGCACCGTGGCATCCGAGAGTTATTCAGGATCTCGCAGTTCCTTCACGGGAAATACTGTATTTACGAGCTCAGCCACAACAAAAGGATGACTGTGAAGGAACTGCCGAGCATCAAAGCCGACCATCCTTAATTGAATAGGTGGGGGAGCAACCCCAAAAAGTAAAACAGCGGCTCGGATTTCACGCTTTAGGTCACTTTATACCTGTTGTTGAATCACCCTGTTTGGGCTGTGGTTTTGGTAGAGCGTAAGAGACGCGAAGGTATAGTAACCTAAGGACGTGTTTTTCATACGCGTAACTGAAGAGCAAATTTCCGAAACTCACTCAGTCCACCTTTTGTTTGAGATGATTGCGGCAAAGACCTAAAGTAAGGCTTCTTCAGCATATTTTACAGTATTATTAGACAGAAGACGTGTCCCACGGACAGAGTGCATTGTGGAAATTTGCTCGTCAGATATGATCTGGGTGTCTGTGAGGTTATCTGAGATTTCTCCCTTGAGGCATTCCTGGTTATGGCTTGGTTGGCTGTGGGAGGGTGGAGCCAGACAAGGGATATGAAATATTATTCTAAATGCCAGGATCTCCATGTCTTTGTGGTTTTGGAGGCTGGTCATCAGTTTACAACTGATGTCTCCTGCTGGGGATCCTGTAACCAGTCCAACCCACCTGTAAGCACTTCAGTCAGCATCACCTGTGTGACCGCGTGTGGCTTTTACACGAGACCAGTGGTTCCTGTGTGGGGTCAGCAGTGTTCTTACAGACCCCAGAGATCTTCAGCTTCCTCTCACTCCAGTACCTTTCCAGGGATCCATGGAACGTGGAACCCGGCGGATGGGGCCCGTGGCATGGGCGCCGCTCACGGCTAAACGCTTTAACATCGATGTGAACTTGGGTAGACGAAAGAACGGAACTCACCCATCTCCGTTCAGGTCCGATACAGCTACTGTGTATCCAAAATAAGAGGCCATCTGGAAAATACCGGAAAGATCTGTTAGCCTGAGAATAGGCGATTCATCTTACAAGGCTCACCTCTCTAGCCTCTAAGCTACACACTGCATGACCACAGATCTAACACTCACCTGTTCTCCTGTGAAATTCTGGATGAACGTCAAGTCGGTGGAATTTATAACGGCCACCTGTGTGAAATATTGCGGTGATAATGGGCTGTTTATTACAGTGGGCTTGGGATGGTCACTTCCACTCAGGTGCACTGCATACTTAACACATCCACGACACAAACCACGCACATGGGGGGTTTGTCCCTCTGCAACCCTGAACAACACCCCCGCCCCCCCAGCACTACAGCCCCTGCAAAATCATGTCCAGAAGGGAGTTCCCCCAGCCAGGAATTCCTTCATAAGGCTTAAAATAACAACCATATGGGGTGGGGGCAAGGCAGACACCCCCACTTAAAGGAGGTTGCCCTCTCACATCACCCCCCAAGCAGGTCAGACTCTACACTGGACATCTCCCCCTCAAGCTCTGCTGGGACTAACCCAGGCTGACATCGGCTCCTGGCCTCAGCGTCACACCCTCTCCATCTCAGATTCACGGGGGCACCACAAAAGGCCAGCATGGAGCCCCCGAGCTCGGACCCGGGGGTCAACGCTCTCCATATGTGGCAGGAAGCCATGTGATGATGGGGGAAGTGCTGTGGGGTGCGAGAGGGACTCTGACATTTTCCCCTGGGGAATCCCCCCAAATATGAGAATCTCCTGTTCCTGGCTGCTCCCCATAATCTCATCCACTTTCCTGGTCATTAAACAGAACTTTAAAGTGGCAGTGTGACACCAGGATGATGGGTTACAGTCTCCATGAGTTACAATCTCCCTTGGTTACAGTCTCACTTGGTTACAGTGTCAATGGGTGTCAGTGTCTATGGGTTATAGTCTCCTGAGGTTACAGTCTCCCTGGGTTACGGTCTCCCTGGGTTACAGTCGCCATGGGTTACAGTCTCCCTGGGTTACAGGCGCCATGGGTTACAGTCTCCCAGGGTTACAGGCAGAGAATGATGTGACTATACTGAACCATCTTCTGGTCGTTAGCAGGTGATGATGTTGAAGCAGTGTTGGTTGTTGCGATGGAAATGTACTTACATAGCCAAAGTTCTGGGCCCCTCTTGGTACTCCAGCGATGAGCTCTGCAGAAGACAGGCGCATGTGTGGGAAATGTGAGCTCATTCTGCACAGACGCGCCTGACTGTTGCACTTTGTTTTTTAATATGCAGATATGCTTGTTTATTCACGTTAAACCTCAAACAGGAAATTTCTGTGTGCACACACACCATACAAGGCCTGCTATGCACATGGACACACACTAACTCTTCATTGTAACCTCCAAATGTGTCCTGGAGTATTTTACTGTCTGTGCTCTCCCCTGGCAGGCGAAGGACATGGTCTACACTGAGGATTGTGGGTAAAACCACAAGATAACCGGCACGAACTACAGAACTGTTAATGAACCAATGAACTAGGCTTGTGACCAAGGCCCAGAATGAGTTAATTTAATTTTCTCCTTAAACGAGCTATTAAAGTGGACTGCTTGAATAAAGACAGTCCAGCTTTATAAACAGCTAACATCACAAGGCTGTAATTAGCCCTTCACAGCAGTGTCTCTCAAGCCACTAAACAAATAAATGATACACTAGGCCACTTGAAAGCAAATCCTCTCTGAATGTAGTTTGGCGTCTCCTTTGTTGACAAATCAAATCAAGGGGGACTTTCCCTGTTCCCTGTTCCCTGTCCCCTATTCCCTGTCCCCTGTTCCTTTCCCCCTGTCCCCTGTTCCTTGTCCGCTGTTCCCTGTTCCTTGTCCCCTGTCCCGTTCCCTGTTCCTTGTCCCCTGTTCCTTGTCCCCTGTTCCCTGTCCCCTATTCCCTGTCCCCTATTCCCTGTCCCCTGTTCCTTTCCCCCTGTCCCCTGTCCCCTGTTCCTTGTTCCCTGTCCCCTGTTCCTTGTCCCCTGTTCCCTGTCCCCTGTTCCTTGTCCCCTATTCCCTGTCCCCTATTCCCTGTCCCCTGTTCCTTTCCCCCTGTCCCCTGTTCCCTGTCCCCTGTTCCTTGTTCCCTGTCCCCTGTTCCTTGTCCCCTGTTCCCTGTCCCCTGTTCCTTGTCCCCTGTTCCCTGTCCCCTGTCCGTTTCTTTATTCTTTATTCTTTCTCCAGTCCTATGCAGTCGCAGCGAAAAACAGGAATTCCATAATTCACTCCAGAAGTGCCATTTTTGGTCACTGAAAGACAACCCCTCCGAATTGATTTCTATCACTGCCGTGTGACACCGTGATAAGTCATCTGGAAGGTTTCCTCGGTTTTCTGTCGGACTTGGTGGCCTGAAACGGCCGACACTGACCCCGGCTCAGAACTCCCTGCACTCCCTGAGAATCCCATCCTTGCCGGAGGCTGCACCCCATTCCGCTCTTCCTGGGCAAATTCAATTACTTCCCTCCACTCTGGAGACTTAATAAAATTGTTTCTACGACACATAAACTCCCTTTCATTAAAAAAGTAATCTTTGTTTTCCATTAAAATGTCCTTATATGACCCACGAGAGGAGAGACTGAGACCTAGACCGCCTCCTCCCTCCTTCCGGGGGTACCCCCAGCCCCCCGCCCCCGGCCCCCAGCCCCCAGCCCCCAGCCCCCAGGTCCTCAGTGTCCAGCACAGTGTTGTTCTAGGGCTTAATAAGGTAGTTAGCCTGAGCCTGTTTTCTGATGACCCAGCTGTGTAAACGGGTTAGACCAACAAAGCACGGACTATACAAGTCAGCTCTGGATAATGCAGCCATCAGGAAGACAAGCAGCCCAGCGCTGACTGGCTGCTCTTCATAGGATGCAGCGCGTCTCCTGGGATAGGAAGATGATTACTGATGCTTTAACCTTTCTGCACTGATTTATGTGTATTTTATCAGGCACTTTTGTCCAAAGCAATGTGCAAGTGAGACAAATGATTTTATATAAAGTGACTTAGAGCAGAGGGAAAGGTAACAGCCTCTGGGCGCTTGGTGGGATTTTAACTCTTTATCCATTCGTATTAATGTATATCGTAAGCTGACATATCAGGAAACGTTCAGGCTAGCAGTCTTTAAGCACTGCTCCACCTGCTGGTGTTAAGGGGTAGAGGTTGTCCACTCACCTTGCTCCGAGTCTCCTGTGAACTCCCCCACTGTTACTGAGTAACCTGTAGGGGGGGGGGGGGGAGACAGTCAGAGCCTTTGCAGTGGGAGAGAGACTCTGCAGCTTCCAACTGTTCATCTGACTATGTTTGCATCCATTTCCTCTGGTTTCATTGGTTTAATTAGTAGTTAATTATCCATGGTATTTATATTGGCAAGTTTACTGAAACAGACACAAAAAGAAACAACCTATTTAAGGCGAGCTAATTATCTGCCATTTTCAAATCTCATTTCTCATTTAAAAATGAAGAAATGATGGAGCCAACTAACCAATTAAGGGGAAGCCCTCATCCATAACCCCCCCGGGACACTGTCTGTCAGCCCTGCTTCAGTGCCGCCCTGTTAGAACTGAGATCGATTCTGTCTCTCCAGTTACCAGTTAACTGGAGGTTAACCAGCACCCCTGCCCAGCACAGAAATGGGGTCAGAATGGGGGCAGCGTGTTTGGACTGCCAGAGCAGCTGGGTGGGGGGGTGGGGGGTTCAGGATGTTTCAGGCAACAAAGTATGACAACCTCAAGGACAGCCAGATGCAGAACCACTCCCACTAAGACACCCCCCAGGGAATGCTGGGTAATTATCCCAGAAAATACTCACCAAGGTAGCTGTCATCGTAGATGTCCGACGCTGGACCGGTCTGCTTTTCCTTGTCCACCTTCCTGAGGATGGCCTTCAGAGAGTACCCATTCAGTATCTCAGCAACTCCCGCTGTTATCACCTGACCTGAAGAACACACAGAGCCAATCAAAATCCCCCTCAGAGCCCCCCAATCGCCCAATAGCCTTCAATCCGAAGACCATACTGTTGAGTCCTTATGTGTGTTTAAAGTTTCTCAAGGTTGCTATGGTTCATTTAGATGATTATGGGGGTGCTGGGGGGGGGGGCGCAGCTGTGATTTCTCATTACTAACTTTGGCCAGGAACCACAAACTTGTCACTTCAGGAATAGTCATCTCCGCCCTTGGACACACTCAATAAGCCCAGACGACGTAGGTGCAGAGAGACGAAGGTCTAATTATAACTGAGAGCATAACATGTGCTACCTTGAACCTTTGAACCTGTGGGGCCTCGTTCTGGGACTCCACTCCATATGGATGAAGCCATTAGCAGCCTTTACCCCAAAGTTCAGCCCTTATTTTTCAAAATGAAATTTACTTGGGTGTGGAGGGGGGAGGGGCATGGGTGACAGGGTTATGGTGGGGGGGGTGATATGTAGTGAATGTGGGAGTCAGTATCTGTGACCCCACTCACATTATGACTGTGTGATGAATTAAGAGAGAGAGAGAGAGAGAGAGAGAGAGAGAGAATCAGATTTCAGTTTTTCCCGGCTAAGGTCCACTGCAAAGGCATAAACGGACGGAGGAGTGCCATTCTGATCTGGTTGCTGGCACTGTGACCTTCACTCCATCCAAACATCCTGTGGCAGTCTCGGCGGGGGAGGGGCTGTTTCAGACAGGATGGGGGATGGCGGGGAGCAGCTTTGCCCCCCAGTAATGAGCACTCTCCCTGCCAGTTAGGCACCAGTTAACAGCTTAACAGGGCTGGGGGCGCTAATGACCGGCCATCAGGAAGCAGAAGGCAGCCACAGGAAAAAGGTCAACAAAGAAAGATATTCACAGCCCTCAGGTCTGTAAATAAACACATCCAAATAAAGAAACCTTAAAGTAAACTCTCACACTTCCAACACACTCAACAACTCTCGATAACGCTTCTGATGTTGAGTCCCAACGACGCTCAGTTTGCCTGCCTACCTCAGGAGCATTACTCAGGAGCATTACTCAGGAGCATTACTCAGGAGCATTACTCTGGAGCATTACTCAGGAGCATTCTTCAGGAGCATTACTTAGGAGCATTACTCAGGAGCATTCCTCAGGAGCATTACTCAGGAGCATTACTTAGGAGCATTCCTCAGGAGCATTCCTTACTCTCAGGCTGTCTGCTTATCATTCATTTTTATTGCCTGTTTCCCGATGCCATCCGGTCATCATGAGCGAATAAATGATGTACGTTCAAAGGTTTGTGAAGCTATCCCCGAAGGAATGCTAGGGTTTTGCCGTATGTCCCTGTATGTCCCTGTGGTCGGCCCGGATTCGCACGGTAACAGGCGGCCCGCGGCGGATCGGCCAGGATTTGCACGATAACAGCCGGCCCGCGGCGAATCGGCCCGGATTCGCACGGTAACAGCCAGCCCGCGGCGAATCGGCCCGGATTCGCACGGTAACAGCCAGCCTGTGGCAGATCGGCCCGGATTCGCACGGTAACAGCCGGCCCTTGGCGGATCGGCCCGGATTCGCACGGTAACAGCCGGCCTGTGGCAGATCGGCCCGGATTCGCACGGTAACAGCCAGCCCACAGTGCATCGGCCCGGATTTGTTTACTCCTTACCTTGCCAATAGAAGCTTCCTGGGCCTCCAACTACCAGAGTTCCAGCCTAACAGAGAAAAACAGAAACTTTTCAGGCAGGGCTGAATTTAAAGTCTGGGAGAATGCTGTGCGTCATGTTTAACAGAAGAGCTGCTGTCCGTTTTCCCCACCACCCCTCAGAGCCGAACATTTCAGGTCCAGAAAGTAAAAATCCAAAACAAGATTTTTGTTGCAACCAGCCAGCTGTGCATAAAGAGTGACAGTCACAGAGAACTAAACTGGTTTGTTGAAACAAAATCTTGTTCAGGTCTGGATTTTTACTTTCTTTATCTGAACTATCCAGCTCTGCTGCCCGTACATACGGACATACAGCGGGACATATCTCAACAAGGGCGGCTACAAGAGGAGGGGCATAAACTCATGTCCAATTGGTTTGCTTTTGAAAAACTCGGAAATATAACCTTCTGCCTCTTCATTCTCCAAGTCCCCCTCGCCAGTTCCGCGGCCCTTGATATGCATCAGTGTGAGAACCTTACAGATGACTGACTCCCATACCAGCTAAATACACACCGAGATGTTCTCTGACATCCAGTCATGTCAAGTCACTCTATTGTCATTTTATACACAAGAAATCAAATTGTGATTCTTCAGGGCACAGACAGCTAAAAAATAATGGTAGGAAAATTGATTTAAACAATTACAATAAAAATGCTACACAACAGATTACAACAATTCACAAGAATGGCTAATAGTGTAAGTAAACAGGTGCTGAAAGAAGCGTCTCCTGATTGAGTAAATGAAGTCTCTGAATCATCAGGAAATGAGGTTTCCTACATCACGGGAGGGACAGGCGTGTCAGAGCGGGCAAAGCACACAGCTGGGGGGGCAGGTCACAACCCGCGGCCCGTCCATCCCGTTCCAGTTCTGACCCGTCGAGCTCGGTCCCCAGACGGCAGCCCCCTCCTCCCCGCACCATTGTGCTCACCATCCAGCTCAGACCCAAACATGCTGACGGAAACCAGAGATAAAGATGGGAACTGAGCCTGCCGGTGCACTCCAACAAAGCCGGCGTATCGGGTGGACGGTACGGATCTGCTCTCCGCTCTCGGCGCGCTGGCCAAGCTCACAAAGGGTATTTTCAGAGGGCTGTGTATCCGTGTCCAGCTCTTTCATGCTCATAATCGCAAAGGTTATTATATTTGATGATTAATTAGACGGCTACTGGGTTTCACTTAAAGTCTGGGATTCTCTTCCCACTGGAGTGCCTGACTCTCACTGGAGTGCCTGACTCTCACTGGAGTGCCCGTCACTGCCGTGATAATGGCTCCGGCCGCTTCCCGAGCCGCTAAGCACTGCAAAGTGGGGGGCGAGAGCTGTGGGTTCACACCACAGGAGGCGCTAGAGAGGGGCACCGTTGCTTCAGACGAAATGAATGTCAGTGAGCTGCTGTAAGCAAGCAGTAAGGAGAATAGTAAGCAAATGAACAACCGGTACCTTGGTGAAGTCCACGCTGAAGCCAGCCTGGCAAAAACCCTGTCCTTCGGGGTCGGGATCCTCTGTTCAGGGACACAATGTGGGATGATAAGCACACATGCTGTTGATCTATTTACCAGATGCTTTTATCCAAAGCAGCAGACATTTTTGAGAAGGCGGAATTAGGCAGTTCCAGGAGAAACTGGGGGGGGGTTAAGGGCTCAACAGTAAAATCACTCTGGTGACGCTGGGATTTGAACCAACAACCTGGTGACAGATACAGCACCGTAACCCACAGAGGGATTAACCAGCTATGCTATGCTGCAGGCTGTCCCAGGACATACATGGCATCCTGGGGGATCAGCACACAACCTGCGATCTCCTCGGCCACACAGGAGACCCACAATCTCACATCTTAGTGGCATTTGAGAGCAGAGGTTGGCCAGGAAACAGGAGGGGCTGAGAGCGGAGGGCGGAGGGCGGAGGTGGAGGGCGGAGAGCGGAGAGCGGAGGGCGGAGAGCGGAGAGCCTCGCTCATACTGAGACGCTACACTCCCCTGGCACCGGGCTGCCTGTCGGACACATCATAAAGCATCGGGCCCTTAGCAGTGTTTAACTTACCATTTGAATTGTTTAAGCTGCACCCCCCCCACCATCTTCAGGCACTATGTGTTCCTGTAGCCACCGTTTAGAGATTTCACATAAACGCTTTAACAGCTTGCAAAACACATTCTTAATTATAAATAATTCCTTAATGGCTAAATGGCTTATGTTCTTATGTTCTTAATCCTGAAAATAACATCACAGATCTGGTTAAAGCTTTTAGAAGGAAAAAAGATGGACAGTATGGTGTGGAATTTCAAGATTCTGGATTGCTTGCATTTCTGCTGATACCAGGGATCAAGTGAGCGCTATCTTCTTAATAAATTGGTCTACATTCCAACTTATGACACCCATCGTGACCACTTCCTGTGTGACCGTGACCACTTCCTGTGCGACCGTGGCTGCTTTTTATGAGACCAAGATTGCTTTGCGTGTGATCATGACAGGATAGCGACTGCTTCCTGTTGGCTGTGACTGCATCCCACGTGATCGTGACCGCTTCCCGTGTGACTATATCCGTGTCCAGTGAAACCGTGACTGCTTATTGTGTTACACTGTCCACTTCCTACATCACCCAAACTGCTTCCTGTGACACTGCAGCCACTTCCTGCATGACCGTGACTGCTTCCTTTGTGACCACTGCTTCCCATGTTGACTGTGACCGCTTCCTATGTGACCACCGCTTCCCATGTTGACCGTGACCACTTCCTGCATGACCGTGACCGCTTCCCTTGTGACCACCACTTCCTGTGTAACCATGACTGCTTCCTGTGAAAGTGTGACCACCTTCTGTGAGACCATGACTGCTTCCCGCCTGACCGTGACTGCTTGCCGCATGAACGCCGTCAGGGGATGCTCACTTGTGCGGCAGGGGGAGTACTCGGCGTAAGCGCTGAAGTTCTGCACTGCCACATAACACGTGCCCACGGGGTCCATCTCGCTGCTCATCTTCACGGTTCTCCAGTGGTAGAGGGGGGCACATGCCTGGTGGGGGACAGAGAGCAGCTCGTTAACCTTCACTGGCCAGATGACAGACACTCCCCCGTATGAATGGCCTTCTGAGGTTTCATTATCAAAATAATAATGATAGTGATGAAAGGTCTGTGTGCAGATCCTGGTGACTTTTGACCTCCTTCAAAGTGAGGAGTGACCTTCCCTACTTACCCCCTCCTGTGATGAAGTTAAATTTAAGGGCTGACACAAGCATTGGGTTAAGATGGCTATGTTACTGTGTGATCTGCTGGGCTGAAAAATGTGCCTTACATTCCTGTCTCTGGTACCCAAACACTAGGCTCATTAATAAGCTCCGCCCCTAAGCCCACGTCTCTCTGGTACCCAAACACTAGGCTCCTTAATAAGCTCCGCCCCTAAGCCCACGTCTCTCTGGTACCCAAACACTAGGCTCATTAATAAGCTCCGCCCCTAAGCCCACGTCTCTCTGGTACCCACCACCACTTTGCCTTTGTGCGTCCTGACAGAGGCTCCAAACCACTGGTTAGACTTGAACTCCAGCAGCTCTCGGGTCCCGTTGACTTTGACCATCCTGTTATCTGATGGAGGGGAGAGGCGAGAGTGAGGAACGCAGCAAGTGCGGTGTAGAGTTACGCCCTCGCAGAAAAGAGGGAGGCTAGAAGAAGGAACTGGCACAAAACATCTCCACATCCATTTCAGCAAGCAGAGAAAACAACGGCCCATCAGAGGGAGCAGAGGAATGCTATTATGTTTATTATCAGCCATGCCAGGACAATAACTCCATCATCTGGCCGTTATCAGGGTCGCTGACAGCGGCGGCACGATGAGACCGGATAAGTTATGAGTTAGGAAAGTGTCGCCCGTAAGAATGTGACTAATCCCCCAAGAAAGTTTTTAAAATGGAAAAATAGCAAAGGAATCACAAATATCAACATGAGACTCTCAAATGGGTCATGGGGAGGGCAATATTTCTAATTTCACTTTTTTTTTTTTTAAAGCATATTTTTAAGACACATGGCTGACAGAAGGAGCTGGCAAGGTGTATCTTGGCTGCTGGAGGTTTTGCCGATTCCAGGGCAGAACCAGACAGGTCCAGAATGTTCCTCAGACACGGCTCACACTTCATTAAGAATAATAAATGTGTAAATAACAGCCACCCAGGGCCCCCTGCGTGAGAGCAGGCCTTTAACAGACCCCCCGTTAGGGGAGAACGTGGAACTGCACCACCTCATAAAAGTTAAAAAAGTACAGAGCAGTGAGCTCTGGAGTCTGAGACGCTCTGACAGGTGCGGCGCCGCTGGAGCTCGGCTGTGCGCATCACCAAGGCGACTCCTGGCCGTTAGTGAGCGTGAGGCGTCCGGAGGACCGTCTGGGTACAGCTGGACAGATGGCTGAAGCCATTACGGCTAGAAGAGGTGAAACAAAACACGGCACAGGCATGGAGAGGGACAGCAGTGCTGCTGGCCAGGGCCGGGTGCCCTTCCGCACGTCTGCTTCAGCTCCCAATTCGATTCGATCCTTTGTATGTCCTGAAAGAGGCTCCAGGGGACCAGGAGTTCTTAGATCTGTCCTCTGGACATGACAGGGGACCCCGGTGGGGTGGGGTGGGGGGGGCTTCAGAGCTCAGCTACACATCGGGTGGCCAGGATTCATTTCATGGTTTAACCGATGACGTGCCCAGAAGTGGGTGGGCAATGCAGGGCTGAGGGAGAAGGTGTGCTTGTGTGTTTGGGTGGCTGGGGGTGTCCTCTGTCACTGTGCTGCATGCGTGTGGGTGCCTGGGGGTGTCCTCTGTCACTGTGCTGCATGCGTGTTGGTGGCTGGGGGTGTCCTCTGTCACTGTGCTGCATGCGTGTTGGTGGCGGGGGGTGTCCTCTGTCACTGTACTGCATGCGTGTGACAGGGTCAGTGCCCACTTAAGCCATGGGAAGACTGACTGGGTCACAATATAGGAGAGAGAAAGACAGACAGACAACCCCCACGCCCCCCCATACTATCTAATAAAAAACAGACACTCATACCATCTACCCTGCAGCCTCTGAAGTCCAAATGATTCCCCATGTGTTCACAGCCACTCGCCGGTGCCCCCACCCCCAACCCCTTGAGAACGAACCTCCGTAAAAGAGCAAGGCAGACCGCAGGAGCCCAGCAGCACCCACGCACACATAAAGATGTCACACGCAGCCACCGTAGCCAAACGCAGGGTGAGAGAAAGCAGCCAACCTCAGTCCCTCATCTACTCACCATCACCCTTTAATCAGCTGATTTTAAATATTATAATATTTATAATATACACCCCCTGCTTAGTTTTTCTTGTTAGCCAAATTTCAGGGGTTAAATAATGACATGTCAAGCTGACACTCCTGTGCGCAGCATCCCAAACAGGTCAAGGGAAAATGCAGAACAGCTTTCAACAAAGGTGGATGCCCTTCAAGGCCAGGTAAAAATGCCACCCCCCCCCCTCCCCGGCTTGGTTCAGTTCTCCCGACAGGCAAGAAGAACAATGCGCTGAAATCAAAAGTCATGCCAGAAACTTCTTCCCAGTAGCTCATAAATTACCTCGCGCGAACACACCCACGCGCACATGCATATAAAAAAAATACACACACACCCTCACTGAGCCACATGTATCTGAAAACCACTCTACTCGTAATTCTGCCGAAACCTCCAGCTCTGAGATCAATCATTTACTTCCTAAGAGCTTTTAGCGCTGTAAGATGTGCACGTTTATATGCGTCACTAAAATGAGCAGATGTCTTATGCAGCAAATGAAACTTTAATCAGATATCCAGCAACTAAGAAACAAGAACACCGGAGGCTATCGTAGCCCATCACTGGAACGTGAATACATTTTAAATATGTCTTGGGGGTCAATTAGGGACCCTCATCCTTTAACAAAATCAAAACAAGCACATCGCCTCAAGGACTTAAAATCCGGTCATCAGTATGCTACATGAGGAGAACAAACTAAGCCAAAGAAATGCAGAGACGGTCCGCTGCGGACACGGAGGAGAGGGACTGAGTGGAGACGGAGCTGGACCGGAGCGCACTTACTAGACGTATCAAAGGGGATCTGGCGGCAGGGGCTGGAGTCCGCGGCTGGCCAGGGGCAGTAATACACCGCGCCTCCTTCCACTATCCCGGGCTGAGAGGTGTTTGCTTTGGGAGCCCCGACCAAGACGCTCATACTGGGGAAACGAGCAGAGTCCAAAAGACCGATCCGGTCAGCTTCGTGTTGGTTGATATGATAAATGAGCATGAATTCGTGCAGGCGGGCAAAGTCAGATAAAAGCTTACAGGTGCGATGAGAGGAGCAAAGAGCCCCTCTGTATCTCACATATGCTCTTTATAAGTAAAGTCTAAAGTAAAGAATGTATTTGTTTCTACACACTTTCGACAGAAATAGATTTGATATGCATGCATGTAATTAAATAGTAGGCTATCTGGCAATTTCACATCTGTCTAGCTTTCCGTAAACACTTGGAAAAGTAACTAATAACCACATGGTTTTAAGACAAATTACATTATTTCGTGGGTGAAAAAGAAAACCCTGCAAAAAAAACGCACTTACACGTTTTTGTCCGGTGATGGTTGATGAAAGTCTACCGAATAGCCAAAGTAACTGTTCCGGGGACCGCTGTAAACGGTGGGCTTCTCCAAATCCAGATTAAAGGCAGCTACTCCCAGTAACACCGGAGCCATACGAAAAAGCGCCCGAAAGGTGCCGGTCCACATGGTGAGGGCTGGTAACCCCGGGGTGCCTCCGATCGCGGGTCAGACGGCCGCAGCGCCGCTCGCATCCATGCAGTGCGCGAAGTCCGCAGCTAATGCGCCGCTTAATAGCGCAGCCTGCAGCTCAGCGCCGCTCCACCGGCGCGTCACCCGGCGAAGCCTTTTAAGGGAAACCGCCGCCTTTCTGCATTGTGTTCCTATACCCTCAGCATGTATTACGGTACAGCAACCCGCCTCTCTACCCCATTATGATACGCGCAATCTTTATTGCTACAGTCAGCCGCATTGTTACGTGTGTTCCTATACAGTCAACATTTATCGCTATTATTCTGAAAGCTTTTTAATACATCCATCCTTATATCTATACAGCCTTTACTCGCACATTTTCTATAAAATATTTGTACGATTTTATTCTATATGCATTTCTATACAGTTGATTGTATTCTACACATATGCGCATAGTCTGTCGTACAGCTTTTTCTCCCTCTATCCGATCGGATGAAACACTAATTACTCTCAATACCCGGACCATCAAAGGCTATGCCGTTTACACGTTTTTCCTCCACACGCTTATAAAATTGGGTTATTTCCAAATGGATATAATTAACTACAATTACGAGAGTAAGACGTCTAAAATTAAAGGAAGGTATGCACGCCTGCACGTGCACTAAACACAAGTCGTGTGTCAGAAAAGCGAAGGAGAACGGAATTAACACGTGTGTTTAAAAAACTAAAAATGTAAACTAAAAAGTCACCTTCAGATATGAAATTGCGAAACCGAGACCACTGTTTGCTATGCAATATGTGCTGTTACTGCAAACAAATGCTAATTAACTGGAAGTGAGAGGAGAGAGTTTCTTAAATAGAATCTGAGACCATTTCTAGTTTACTAAGCGAAAGGAGTTTGACACTATGTTGATAGCAGAAAGAGCTTTATAATATTACATCACAGGCAGCCCATTCCATTCCTGGTCACTGGTGTTAGTACTATGGACGAGAATTATGTGTGCACCCCTGAACAATAGTACGACTAATAACATGAATAAAGCGTTAAAAATGGGCAGACAATGACATTTTATTTGGATGGGAAGTGCCTGAATGCATAACCTGATGTCAGTATATTTTAAAAAGTCTAACGAAGGTTGTCAGATGCGTATTCCATCTCAGGTAGAATCTGCCTAATCCAGATTGCGACGTGAGTGAGATCCTGAGGGTTTTACAGCCCAGGAGCAGACAGGGTGTTTGGTTCTTATCTTAAGGGCTTTATCAGCCCTCTGGGACTTTTGTGTAGTAAAATTCACGTGACACAAAACAGTAAAAGCCAGACGAGGTCAGCAGAGGATCACATTCAAAATAGGGAGCAGGCCGTCAAGTCGAGCGAAGTCAAAACAAGAAAAGGGAAAAGAAACAAGAAAAGGGAAAAATACATAATCCATCATCCAGATTCTAATCCTGCTGAGTCACCTGCAGTCCAGCTTAAGAAGCTTAGGCCACAAGTCAGCAAAGTGCCTGGATGGGATTCCAGTCCATCGTAGGGAAAGTGTGCACACACACAGACACACAGACACAGACACACGCACACAGACACACGCACACACAGACAGACACAGACACAAACACCGTGTTTTGTGTCCATATGTTTGTGGGGACCATCCATTCATTTCTATGGGAGAAACCCTAATCCCAGCAATGACCTTAAAGGGCCAAAGGTAGCCATGTGTACCTCACATCAAAATAATAAAAAAGAAATATGGATTCTTTTTTTCACTACGTGAGACCACAGTACAGACACTGTGGGGGGCAGCCACCCCCATAAATATGACTGACCCCTGATGGTCAACCCAATCAAGATATTCTGCAGGTTCACTGACCGAGAGACATGGTTCACGCAAACTTGTGAGTATGTGTTAAAATTAATAAAACTGTATGACTGTGTGAGGTGTCTGTTCGGACAAGCAAAGCATACATGCATGTAATGGTCAAACAGCTGTAACTTCCTTCATATAATGACCACGCATGGGAGAAAATGCTTTCTAGTGTAGAAACGGGATTTGTTGACAAGCAGCCGAGACACTGGAGTGTGGTCAGCGGCAGGTCAAGGATGTGCTTATGGGAAGAGACTCCCAGTGTGACCAAAACAGACAGGAGGGCCGCAAACCGCCCCCTTGGTGTAATCTTGACACGGCCAGGTGGAAGCCATCAGAAATGCCCACCGGGACACAGCAAGCGCCAGTATGCAGGCATCCGATGACTCACCCGCACCCCATGGTCTGAGCACGCACAGCCGATGATCCTCGGCAAAAAGTTACGGTAAGGGAGGGGGTCCTGGCAGGGGAATGCAGTTTATGTATGTTTACATTTCTGTTTGGCCTATGAATTGTGTGTGTGTGTGTGTAGGGGGGGGGCTTAACCAAAACATTTAAACCAACCTGATAATATTTCATTTTTCATTCAGCACTGCACAGCTGGACCTGAGAGTGCGATGCAGGTGTTTCTGAGAGCTGGCGCAGTGGGTTTGAATCCCCACACAGTCCTCTGTGGGTATGCAGGTGTTTCTGAGAGCTGGCGCAGTGAGTTTGAATCCCCAGACCGTCCTCTGTGGGTATGCAGGTGTTTCTGAGAGCTGCCGCAGTGGGTTTGAATCCCCACACCGTCCTCTGTGTTTGTGCAGGTGTTTCTGAGAGCTGGCACAGTGGGTTTGAATCCCCACACCGTCCTCTGTGTTTGTGCAGGTGTTTCTGAGAGCTGGCACAGTGGGTTTGAATCCCCACACCGTCCTCTTTGTGTGCGGATCTTGCATGTTCTCCATGCTTTTTGAAAAAAACTTTCTTCACTTTCAGTGGAGTAGATTAGCACAGTAACTGTCATGTGATTATTTATAAAGTATTTATCTGACATAGTTTATCTTTAGCGTCTGCTAGCTATATTAAAAACCCTTTCTGTGTGACACTTCAATGCTGTTAGAGCTCAGGACAGTTTCACTGAGGTTTGGCATCTGTGCAGCTTTCAGTATCTGCTCCATCGACACCCGAATTCCTGCCTCCCCACACTGTAACCAGCTGGTTTTACCGCAAAGCATCCTACAAATCTCACTCCAGCATTGATGCGAGCAACAGAGATAACAAAGGTGACCCTGTGTGAAAGGAAATAACATCAAATCAGGTTTTCTTATATTAGCACTGTCCATTAATTCTTTCATTTCTTCTCTACAGAATCGCGAAAAATCTCAATTTTCAAAAATCGTTGCAAAAATCTCTTAATGCGTAACACTAAACCACCAATTTCGGTAAGACATTCAGCCTGGGATGCGTTTAAAGGATTCTGAATTTACCACAATTACATCATCTGTTACTAGTCTCTGAAGTATGTAAATTCAGTTACATGCCATTAAAACAAAACACAAAAATACTGTTTTCTGTATTGATCCAATAGGGCCACTGTCAAAGGTAATTTCGTATAAGTGTTTTTATTCACCAAAGAAGAATTCAATTCTCCCACCTTACAGGAGTGAACAGGTTTTAGCAGATTTATTGGATCAATACATTTTTAAGGCTTTGTCCCTAGAAAAAGGCTTCATCACTAAGAGAGCAGGACTGGTGTGCAGAAACTCACTGTCCACCATGACGACTGCCCTAGCCGGACAAAGAGTGTGGGGGAGAAGGATGTAGATCAGTCTCCAGAAGTTGTGGGTTCAAACCTCACAAGATAATTCCTGCTGATAGGCCTGTGAGGGAATAAACCTGCAATATGTTCACCTTATCAAGGATCAAAGTGTCAGCTTGGCAATGAAATGATGATGATCACGTCTAGAGAGTATGCGGAGCTGGCCCTTCATGTCTGCTGCCGGTACTTACTGTAAAGGCTTTGCTCTTGTTTGCAAACATTGTGCTGGCCGTAGGAAAGTACCCAAGCGGTACTGTGTGGGTAACCTGGTACTAGTGTTTCCTTAATGCGCTGAGCCAGTTAACGGACCCACCAGAACATTCGCATGACAATGGCTGCAAGCCTGGAGAGGTAAAGACAGCGGAGCGGGCTGCTTAAGCGCCGCAAAGCGCTTCTGAATTTCCACATGCAATCCTGCATTCGGCTTTGGACTCCAAACCTTAAAAATGGTGCATCTGCACTGGATCGAGGTCAGCAGGGAGCAACAAGAATGATTCCATAAGGTAAAGGATTTCCATAAAAGGGCAGTTAGCCGCACTGACACTCCTGTCTGCAACAGAGGTGACAGTGAAGACAGGACACAGGGACAGTGAATCCTGCAGGATCACTGCTAGATCTGCAAAAGCAGGGCCTTCATGTGTTCTCCAGTCAGACAGAGGCTTCTCTCTGCTGTCACACTCTGTCTTTCTCTTACACTGATCTGCAAATGAAAGGGAGGCTCACCAATGTACCACAAATAGCCATCAGCTGAATCGGGGCAGTCTTGATGGAGACGGCTGATTTTCTGAGGTCGCTGTTCCCATTCCATACTTATTCCGCTGCTCTGGAATAACACGGCTGTGAGCTTAGCGTGCAGAGCTACGTCTCGGAGGTCACTGAAAGGGCAAAGCCAAACTGTTGTTTTCACCACTTGTGTCCAGTGCGAGTTCCTGCTCTCCCTCCCTGTCTCAGGTGTTAAAAGCATAAGCAGCACGATGGAAAGCTTGCTGCTGTCTGGCATCCCGTGAGCTGACCATCACACCCTCTTTGGCCCATTGATCCCTCTCTGCTTCTGTGAGCTTCAACAGGGTTCAAGTGACAAATACTTCAGAATCTCCAGCCACTTCAGCTCTCATCATGCCACTGCTACTATTTTCTTTACCATGAGGAAAGGGCATTTTGTCCTCAATATCTTGTTATCCTGGACAGTCTCATTCTCTCTTCTCGCCGTGATCCTTGCCTCTTTTGAAACCTTCCATCCACACCTAGAAGCCCAACCAGCTCTGGCTGAAAGAGCAAAGTGTTTCTGCCACATTGATGTGATGAAAGCGGACTTTGGCTTGTTTCTTAGCTTCATGCATGCAATGTTTCTGGATAGCTCCCGGTATTTCTTGAGCTTTTGCTCTTCTCACGCTGCAATCCTGAGACTATCGCCTATTCTTGGCAAACCCATAGGGGAGGTCGTGCACTTTCACTCTACCTATTTTTTCTTTCTCAAACGGACGAACAGAGGGGTCACAGACACGATTCAGGGGATAATCCCACCCTGCTCTCATTCTCACCCTAGTGGGTAACTTACAGGGTCCATCACCATAAAAATCGGCTTATTCCTATGTCTGTGGGCGGGACCATCACTGCTACAGGGGATCGTAGGTTCCAATCTACCCTCAACCAAGTGTGCGCCATGTATTTTTTGGCTGGCGCTCCATTATTTCATGTGGGACCTACTGCTGAGTAAAGGTGCTGACTCAACTGAAAGGCACGGTGCCATCGCATGTGTGCGCGTCCGGGGACGGCCCACCATGGGGTGCGGGGCGGACCCCAGCATCACCAGAAACGCTGCTGGAGGGGAGATGGGTCACTGGAAGGAAAACAGCTGGGAAAAACAGGGCTTGGGGATCAAAAACCAGACAAATCACATTAGACTGCGCTGTTGGATGTTAAACCACTTTCTGTACAGAACAGGACACGAGTGGTAAGCGACACACTGAAATGTTCTAGGATGCGAATGTACCATTTAATTGAAGAACACACTTTGTTTTAAGTGATTACATAATGTACTTTGCGTGCCTGAAATTTCTCTTTCATTATTACTATACTTTCTGAAAGAGACCGTTACATTTTGCTAATTAATATTCCAGTTTTGTTTACACTGACATAGGAGCCTAGAATAATGTGATAGATGTCGCACAGAGGGTCGTCGTCGGCATACAGCTAGTGCCAGAGATAAACGGTAAATCACAAACTGTAAAACTTCACCTTCATGTACACAGAAGACCTAAAATGGAGACGTTAAACCAACATCTTATTTCACGTTTACATTTTGGCGGTTAGGACCTTTTTCTTCACTGGAGGAACATAAGAAAATTAAGTGTTAGTGAAAGGCCCAGCTTCAGCAGGCAGGATAAATCCTTCACAGAGCCTCCATCAGCTTCCAGATGAATGTTCAGGGCTGATTTACCCGAGACAAAAACAGATGCAGTGCCCTCATACATACACACAGTATAACAGGATCTGAGTTTCCCCTGCTGGCCCCAATACGATGGCATTAATCTTCAAACACTACAGATAAAACCTTAAGATAATGTACATTAAGAACCACATGAACAGTAAAGTACAGAGGAAATTAATTCATGTTCTGTCACAGTCCCTATAAAGACGATAAATTTTTTTATTAAATAAAGAAAAAAAAGTTTGCCATTTCAGTAGTGACTACACACCACTTTAAGTGGACCAGCTCAAATGTGTTTTCAATTTGTGCACTGCATGAATATGTATGAAAGTGTGGCAGACCTGAAAGCCAGAGCGTGCGGGAGAGGTAAGAGACCAAGCAACTGGACTGGGCTGCAGTTAAAGTAGGGGGGTCACACACACCTCAAGAAACCATGGGGGAGGGGAGAAAACTCAAAAACCAAAAAGTTTATTGTGGGAAAGCCAGCAGGACCAAAATAAATAAAGCCGCAGGTGTAGTGGGTTATGACATAACGCGGATTCATCATGCAGAAAATAAATAGATGGACAAAGGAAAAAACATGACAACCAAAGCTTTTAGTGATTACCGACTGATTATTAATATTTACTCCCGATTTCATGCCAGGTGTCGCAGCTCACCTCAGTCTCACTCACTCCCCCCGCTCCAGGGCACCACTGGTAAACACAAGCCGCCTGATCGATGTGCTCATCCTCACGGACGGCAAGAGCCCAACGAGAGGCTGGGGTCACATGGTCCCACGGAGGGGCCAGTGGAGGCGTGTTAACAGTGTGAGTCGACGTGAGGGCAACGCCGCACATTTCAGCAGGATAAACGCTTTCGCGCTAAACGGATCGAATCAGGCGACCGAAATATCCACACAAAAGAGCAAAAAAGGAAGGAAGGATGAAGGTTAAACATAGAATGAGCCCTTTAGGAAGGGGGGGGGGGGGGGGGGGGGGGAGAAGACAGGATACTGGGTCAGAGAGGCCGGGGTTGACAGGGAGACAATAATCTAGTATAGTGCTTCCCAATCTGGTCCTTACGGACTCACTGCTGGTCCATGTCAGACAGTCCACATTTTTGCTTCCTCCCAGCTAGGTAGGGAGCAAAAATCTTGACTGTCTGTGAGTCTTCAAGGGCTGGATTGGGAAACTCTCTAGTAGATAAGGAGGTGTAGGTAGAGCTTAGGTGTCATGGCAGGCAGTCGGCTCTGGGCCAGGAGAGCCTGTGTGCTTCCAGGTGAAGCTACAGCATCCGTACACGGGTGGGGGGGCGGGGGGGGGGCTCAGTTAGTTCAGCGACGGGGAGCGGTCCGTGGTCCACAGCAGCTCGATGTATGGCCACTTGGTCTGCAGGCAGCGCTTGATAGGTGTGTCGTCTGTCCGCACCATGGGGTCCTCGAACCCTAACACCAGTGCGGTTCCTTCCACATAGGCCACCTGGCAGAGGGACAGACGGCCACAGAGAGAGAGGGGTGTGATGAGGCAGTTTGGGCAGGAGGGGGTCGTGGCCTCTCATCAAGGCTACAGCTAACAAGACCGACTTAACGAGAAGACATCCGATAGCAGGTCGACGGCCTCGTACCATCAAATTAAACAACCGCCCCCTGATTACTTCCACGTGTGGGGGGATCGGATGGCCGCACACGCGCGTTACGGACATCGCATACAGACACAGGCCGCGGGGTTTCTGCAGCTGAAGATGCCAGGACCTGAACCGGTCGGGCACAGCAGAGGGCGAGGGATCAGGACAAACACCGGGGCCCTGCATCGAGTCCCTGTCCCTCCCAGTTCACTGCCCCAGACCCCTAGCAGCCTGTCTCAAGGGCTTCATGCCCACCTCCTCCCACAGCCGGGCCTCCCATGCAGCCAGCGGCCCAGCCTTCGCTGGTAACCCCTTAATAACCGGTCATTACAGGCTGATGAGAGGGCTGACCGAACATAACCGATGATGTCACCGTATTAAAGGCCGCGCTTCCCGGCACCTTCTACACAGCTGCCGCACAGCTGCCGCCCAGCTAGAGGCGTCCCTGTGTTTCAGCTGCTTATCAGGCCTGGGCTGTGCAGGGCACCGGGAGCACACAGGCATCAGGGACGCATTCGTCACAGTCCCGCTACCTCGGCGACGACCTTTGACCCTCATTTTATGAAGGGTCACACGGGGATCAAACGCCTGGATAGAGTGTGGGAGAATGAGGGCCGTCCTGGAGCTCCAAGCGACTTGGAGCCGGCAAAGCTGATCCGAGGTTACTGAAGGGGGGTCTGAGCTCCTGAAGACCCCCCCCCCCACCAGACCATAAGCACCGAGTCAGAGCAGGAGCTGAAACACCCAACAGCCCCCATTTTCAGAGGCCGATACCTAGTGTCAGCGCAGATGAAACGCTCAGTGCAGCATTAACAAGCTAACGTCCAAGTGAAGAAGTGGTGTCTAGGACACATTACACATGGATAACAGGATATAGGTGCACTTATTATAAGATTAATACTGGCATGTGTGGTCTTGGTTAACGGGGGGGGGGGGGGGCAAAGAGGCTTCTGGGAGTTTAAAGCAAACATTTGCGGTAAGCATGTCTCCCCCAGAGAGAAAGGGAATCCTAAGAACTTCGGAGTGTTTTGTGTTTACTGCTGGCTGTTAAGGTTCTCACACGTGGCTCTGCTCTCGGGGCGAAACATCAGCCTTTATTAAACAGAGAGCTGAGGCGGCTGCAGCAGATGTCAGCACAAGAGACAAGAGGCAGTTCAGAGCTACACAGCTGAAACGCTCCACGGGAACGGAGCATCCCATAATACATTTAGCGGGCCAGCCAGGGTCGGACTCAATCTCCCTGTCGGAGGTGATTAGCTGTGTGTCAATCTCATCAGCGTCCAGACTTCCTCTGGGAGAGGGTCAGAGGTCAGGTGCACAGGAAGCACAGGCCCAGAATGCACTGCTCAGGGTACGACTGGATCTGGCTGCTCTCTACAGGACGTCACATAATCTAAAACCCCGAAACTGCAAAGTGCCTAAGTGACATTCATCCATGTCCTTCAAGCTGCAGAAAGAGGGCAGACCTCTCAGAACAGTTTCAATATCCTTTGTTTTAACAGAGTAGTGAGTCAGGTGTATCACTGACAAGCAACAGCAATGTGACAAAGGTGTAACAACGAGGGATGCGTGTACCGGGGGGGGGCAGCTTACCTTCTCATTGTGGTTCGACTGCTTAAGCCCGTTGTAGTGATACACCGGAAAGGAGTCGGGGATTCCTGTGTCCTGAAAAGGAAGAGGCAGGTGTGTTTGTGTCAGAAAGGAGGCCTGCATCTCAGCGCACAACACTGCACAAAGGAGGCCTGCATCTCAGNAAAGGAGGCCTGCATCTCAGCGCACAACACTGCACAAAGGAGGCCTGCATCTCAGTGCACAACACTGCACACAACAGGCTTGGGTTCACAGGCATGTCAATCTGAACCTGAAAGGAACCTCCACCAGAAGGGCTGCAGAAACTGCCCGCTCACGGCAAGGCCGGGGGGCGGGGCACAGGGCCAGTGCGGGGCGGGGCACAGGGCCAGTGCGGGGCGGGGCACAGGGCCAGTGCGGGGCGGGGCACAGGGCCAGTGCGGGGCGGCCACCCAAGCTGAATTTACGTCGATGTATTTAATGGTCAGTGGGCGGATATGAGGGTGCAGATCGCTCTGGTAAACATTTACAGAGTGCCCTGGGAACATGGTGTTGTGCGGCACGGAAACCAGTAACTGCTACTCAGTGTCGTTCATGTTCATTCGGCTCGAAGGACTCCGATGTGAAAGCAGGAGAGCCCTCCCCCGGCACACAGGCCCCGCTGCTCCCGCCCACGCCAGCGACTTGCCTGGGCCCAGTATCTCAGACATCGTTAATATTATCGTAACTTTTTTGGCTTGGCTAACAATCCAAAAAATGCAGAGCAACTTTTAAGGTAAGTCTGGTGCACTGAAGCAATTTAGGGTAAACTGGGCTCAAGGGTACGACTGCAGGACCACTCCAAGGATCAGAACCGGGCACAAACGGCCGTCTGCAAGGCAGCTCGCAGTTCATGGAACAGCACACAGCCAAAGTGCAGTGGAGACCCCCCCCCCCCGACAGCCTGTGAAAACCAGTACGTGAGTGAGCAGAAGCCGTGACCCAGTACCTGATCGGGGAAGAACTCCAGTAAGAAAGGCCCCAGTAAGACGACGCCCAGTCCCTCAGGGTCCAGTTTACTCTTCATGAGGTTCACGCTGGAAGAGAAACCGTCAGAGGGGCAGAAGTAAAGAAGCCCATTTAGGAGGCCAGCTCATGTTGTCTTAGCGCACGTTTCCAACGTACACAGAGGCAGCGTGATCCATCTCAGCCTTACGCCTCATTACAGGCATCGCGTGTTTCTCATACTAAATATAACTGTTGACGGAAATTCCTGGAAGTTTGAGCATTGTTCAAAAGCTGAGAGGGAGATAAAACAGAGAAAACTCCTTTTAAAGACAAATCTATCAGGCAGCACTGCCCTGCCCCCACCTTTGCCAATTAACTAAGCTGACACCATCCAATGGTGATGATGGTATGAATCCATGGATACGGGACAAATATGACGGGCAGGGGGCAGGTTTACAGAAACCAGTGGGATGAGTGGGCCGGGGGAGGCTGTCAGAGCTGCTACTACATGGATACCATCAAGATTTCATACTGAAAATATATAATTGGACTGTCAATAAAATCATACATATTGAGCTCTGAAGGGGAGATTGGGAGCGAGGCTGGGAGCCTGGGAGCTGAGGCTGGGAGCTTGGGTGCTGAGGCTGGGAGCCTGGGAGCTGAGGCTGGGAGCCTGGGAGCTGAGGCTGGGAGCCTGGGAGCTGAGGCTGGCACATGCAGTAACCTGAAAAGAGCCGCCAGCCTGTTCAGTCTATACTGGGCTCTCCCCCAACACACCAGCTGAACGCCAGTAGGACACCTGCTCCCAGACCACCCCGATAACCAGAGTGTCTGCTCTGATGGCTCTATAGACAGTGAACCATCAGCAGGTGGGCCTTCAGCACAAGCCCTGGGCAAGTCCAAGGGCTACGTGTCTATTGCCCCGATCACGACCCGCAGACATTTCAGAGCTGTGATAGACACCCGTATCTCGGAAAAATCCTGGGGGAACATCTGACAACGGTGACTGGATCGGCTGGGGAGGCCGTGTTGGACATGTTGTCACGTGACCCTTAAAGGCAGGACAAATACTACAGGTCCAAGCATCAGAGTTCCTGCTCTAACATAAAGACAATATTTCCCAGAGCATGCATGCACACACGCACACGCACACGCACACGCAGCCCGATGAGAAGAACGACACCTTACAGTGTCGGGCCGGAGGAGGTGACTTACTACTCTGGCTCAGAGACGAGGTCCAAGGCCTTCATCACATCCTCCAGCAGGGAATCTGGGATGAAGCCGTTATCTGCAGAGGAACAGAAGCACGGGAAGAGAAGCTGAGTTTCGGTGCTGAGGCAGAAGGGCAGAGAAGTGGTGACAGAAGCCTGGAAGAGATTGAGGGACACGGGAGACGGGATGGGGGTGCAGGTGGAGGAAGACGGAAGAGAACATTTCAGGTAGTCACTGAGAAGGACGAGCGGATGCATCTCGCCTGCCTGCACCTTAAGGCTTACAGGCAGAGAACACAGAAGCGTGTGATGGACCCCGGAAGCGCATGGGAAGGCAGGCCCTAACTTCCTACCTCGCTGGGGTCATTTCCTCTGCCTCCCCTGGCTAATCGCACTGGTTACAGCGGCTCCAGGCAGCACGGCTGACAGCGAAGGGAGTAGGAGAGCAAGCGGCGTGTCCCACGTCCCACACAGTGTGATATCCGTTATTCACCCCTTAGCCCGTACCGTATGAATAATTAGGCCGCTTAATTCAGCTGTGACCTCCTCTATGGTGGGGGTGGGCAATTTTATCTGCAAAGGGCCGGTGTGTATGCAGGCTTTTGGCATAACCTTTAGGTCAGCTGATCAAAGCCAGGTGTCAGGACTCCTCAGACAATCAGTCCGCTAATTGGACTTACAGCAAAAACCCGCAAACACAGCGGCCCTTTCTGGATAAGACTGCCCACCCCTGATCTTTGTTCAGAAGCCAAACAAAACAGAAAAAGAAGCTGCTGAGAGTGGGAGAAGGAGAAGGAGAAGGAGAAAGAGAAGGGGAAGGAGAAAGAGAAGGGGAAGGAGAAAGAGAAGGGGAAGGAGAAAGAGAAGGGGGTCACTGGCAGCTTGTTTCGAGCTTGTGGGCAGCGGCCTCGTGATATTATCACGCAGAGACTGAAGCAGCGAGCAGTTAGAGAGCGAGAGCCAGCTGGAGCACAGCTTCACCGAGGCAGGCCAACCACAGCGGCACTCTCGGCGGCCTGAGAATGGCACGGCTCACTCCTGATGCCCGACAGTATTACATAGGCCCAATCATGTCCTCCGTCACCACCAGATAAGTGGGAGTGCAGTTTGGCTACTGTCGCACACAGCATGACAGATTCTATTCCATGAAACTAGACAGCTAGACTGTAATGAGGCCCCTGACCTTTTTTGCACTGCCTGTGAACCTGGTCCTATAGCCAAGGGGGGGGGGGCTCAGTTCAGGACATCTCAGCTTGCACAAGTCACCCCAGTGTGACATGTCTACTGGGAGGATCCAGTCCAAATGAAGCAGAGAGGCTCTGGAAGGGCCCACATTGTTCCCATAAACACAGGAGACAGAAGAATGTTGTTTACTGCCTTAGAAGAGGTTGAGCTTAAGTCCCTCGCGGGACACCCCCTGACGATTCGAGACACCCACCAAGCAGATGGGAGGAAGCGCACTAAAGGTGACGGCTTCCCTGAGAACATCACTCTCTAAGTTCCGCGTGGGCATGGGAGAGATTAAGGTAAAAAACCGCCTTCATGACCTAGACCAACGGACATAGCAGCAGCACGCCGGGCCGGTCTGCACCGGTCAGGCCCTGATCGAGCCCCCAACCAATGCAACTCTTCTGTTTGTCTCCATGGTGTAGTGATAGCGACCCCATGTTTCATGACTCACCCCGGCCAGACCAACCCCGCCCCCCAATAAAAGCAGAGGGAAGTAATTAGGGAACAGCTGTGAGGAGTATGGCTCGAAGCCGGGCACACAAACAGCGACGTTTACATAAGGGCCTTGCTAATGTAAACACGCCATGCGGCTCATGGTGGGACACAGCGGCGACCCCTAGGAGACATGAGGGACATAGCAGCGCAGCTGCGCCTTCAGGTCTGGGTTACGCACTCTCAGGAAGTCCAACCCATTCAGAAGAGTGGAGTCTGCAGCAGGTTAAAATGTGACCCAGCTGGTCAGATCTGCCTTAATAGGTCCACAGACAAGGTGGACATTCACAGAATGTCATATGGTATGTTTACGTCTCTGTGCCTTTAAAGTTCCTCAGCTTTCGCGTCAGTCATTGTCACCTGACGCGTACCCATTACGCGGCCCGGAGCCGGCCCGCGCACAGAGCCGGGCCGCGGCCCGGAGCCGGCCCGCGCACAGAGCCGGGCCGCGGCCCGGAGCCGGCCCGCGCACAGAGCCGGGCCGCGGCACGGAGCCACGCACAGAGCCGGGCCGCGGCCCGGAGGGATGTGGATTAGCCTCATTAGCATGGCACACTACCCGTTCATGTCTCAGTGAACAGCTGCAGATCGTCTGATTAAAAGAAGAGGAAATGAAGAAAAAAAAACATGAAGAAGAGGACAGGGTCACCCACAAAGGCGCCCAGCCTTATGCAATAAGATATCAGTAATCCTGTTAGCGGCAGCGGACAGTTGACTCAGCTGTGAGGGAGAACCTCAAATCCCCCCCCCCCATTTCCACTCCCATTGGGGGTAGACCATCACCCGCCTGCAAGAGGCACTGGGTCAGGACGAGCTGTCAGACTGACCAAAGGGGTCAAAGCACCTGCAACCTGAACCGGTGTGGAGCCACATCAGTCGAAGAATCTCACCTTCTGGGTCGAACGTCTGGAAAACCCTCCTGGCTTGTTCTGATGGTGATTCTGGGGCTACCAGTGCCATTTCCTGGAAGGGGATAACAAGAACAGGGAGGAGACTTCAAGGAGAGAAATGAACCACCACTCAGCTCTGTTCCCAAGCCCACCCGGCCTGCGGCTGGAGGTAGGTAATGCGACATTACCCAAGATGCCCAGTAGGGGGCAGTAAACAGTAAACTGAAACCACCAAGCAGTCCAACGTAAATGTCAAGCCCCGACGGACCACAAACGAGAGGCCTACCCAAGTTTTACATGCAGACTCCAGAAAAGTCAAACAGGCAAACAAATAAAGCCGAAGGTATTGCTGATATCCGGTTAGGTGGGACTGAGAGAGAGCCGATGAAAGCCAATCCCGTGGCCCTTCTCAGGCAGCCAATCCCGTGGCCCTTCTCAGGCAGCCAATCCCGTGGCCCTTCTCAGGCAGCCAATCCCGTGGCCCTTCTCAGGCAGCCAATGACATTGCCCTTCCTCTCAGGTATCTGCAGGTAACGAACTCTAGACTGTCACATACTGAGCCAGCAATATGCACAGAGTAAAAATATTATTGCAGCTTTCATTAGTCACAAACCCAAACAAACAGAAAGAGCCACGGTAAATGGCCCTTATGAATAATTAGGCTAATTTTAAGAGGATATCTGGAGAGCAACTGATTACGGTAAGGATCTAGGGGGGATCGTGTCTCACTACGTTTAACTGTGTCCGATTAAGTGTGCTGTGTTCCTGGGCTTGGTGCTGACAGCCCGACGCAGAGCTTAGGCAACCCAGGGTCCTTCACTGGCACACTGGGACATGGAGTTGGAGGAACAGAGGGAGGCTCTCAGCCAGGGTTCGGAGACGCTTCTCCTGTCCCCTTTGAAAATAGACCAAGGGGGCACATGTTCCCGTCCGGACCGTCAGATCTCACAGCTGGCAGCAGGCGGCCCAGAGAGGAGCAGTCACAGCTGCCAGGGGTCAGATGTGTACTGATTCTGGTAGCATTCAGGGTTCGAAAAGCAGAGCGTGAGGGCACCCCCTTAAGCCAAGCTGCTGAAAGGGGTTCGTCTCCCTCATGGTCGGCATAAACCCTACATAAATCACGCAATACGTAAACATACACGTTTGCAGATTGACTTTCACCATAAGAATGCAACCCGTCACAGATTTTCCAGGCAGGATGTGTGCAAATGTCCTCATCATGAGTAATGGCTCGAAGTCCTGGGTGGGTACAAGCGCCGTCTATGCGGATGGAGCCTCGCCGGACAAAGACAGAAGCAATATGGTGTTAAAATGACAGGCTGTTGAGAAGGGGCTTCCTGTGGGCATCTGCTCAGTCACACGCACAAACCCACGGCCCCAAGTGTCTTCGTGGGATTTAGGGCTATGAGACTGTAAAGGCAGCGGAGGGTTAAAGGACAGGATATGGGAGCTCTAGGGGGGAGCTGAGGGTAATGAAGGCGTTACAGAAACAAGCACTTAGCAAAGTCCTCACTGAGGGCGGACCACAAACCGCGTGTCTGCTACAGGAGATCAGAGCAAGGGCAGGGGGCATGGTGCATGAGTCCAGCCAGTAAGCACCCCCACCAGTCACTGCTGAGAGTCCCCCAGTTGCATGGCAACGGACCCCCGGCACGTGTCTACGAAACGCACCCGAGGCGAGAGATGGGGCCCGAGCACACACCTCTGTTTACTGCTCCTGTCCCACGACAGGAAACAAACGCAGCGGGGTCTCGATGTAACAGCGAGCGCCCCTGGATTTCCGCGCACTCCACCAGTCACCAGGAGGAAAACAAACACGAGTGAACATGGGCAGGCCACCGACATCCAGCCTCGTGAAACTCGATACCAGCGGACGAGCAACGTGGGACCAGAGGACTCAGGCACTGAGCCAACACCCACCATTCAGAGCTGCTCGGAGGAGAAGCAGCACTCCACCTGAATATAATTCAACTGTCCAAACGGATGAAGAAGGTTGCATTTGTGGAAAAAAAAATGAAATCAACCTCTCTAATAGCTCTAGTTAAGCACTTAGAATGAAACGATAACAAACAAAGTTTTGTTTGTATGGTGAGATTTTTTAATTTTTTAAAAATAAAATAAAACAACTTGCCCTCCCCCCACCACTGCTAAAACGAAAGAGAAATGTTCACAAGAACATAGAACAATACATTCAGATCCAGAGAATCACATTTCTAAAAACAGCACTGCGTTCTGTCAAGAACACGCATGGCCACAATGCCAGTGAGCCAGGAAGAGAGCTGCTGCCTTCAGCCAGCCCAGGAGAAAACCGCAGCTCTCCGACACTGACAAGACGCAGGTTAACAGCTGGCAGCAGACGGCCTCTGAATACCTGAGCATCTGCGCCCCAAAGCCGAGCCTCCTGGGGCGGGGGCAGCCGGAAAGGGGAGCGCGTTTGGGTCGGCCGGCCTCTCGTAAGCTAACAGGGAAGCTCTGAAGAAGCACATTTTTTAATACTGCAGCAATGCAATAACCAAACTGTGCTGGAAGCGAGAACAGCTCAGGCATTACTCAGCCATCTGCAAATAGAACCACGCCGCCGTTACCCTTAAATGGCAATGTTCTGCAAATCTCAGCTAGCCATTTCTGTACGGATCAGGGGTCTGATCACGGGGATGACGCCACGCTGCGTTCTTACGTGCCGTGCACCTTCCCCTCCGTCGTCGGGACAACATAAGACCAGCAGGTAAACAACCAACTGGTCGTCGACTCGTGTTCTCTCACTGAAAGCACACACTGCATGTATTATAAGGGGCTACAGGCAGGACAGTTACCCCGAAGGTGACTGTGCCTGCTCCCAGGAGGAATGCCGTTGGACCTTAGAGAATATTCCTTGAGATAGACTACTGGTTAAAATACTGGTAGAGAAAGTAAGTCTGTAAAAGTGGGTGCCTTACAAAGCAGAGGTATCAGGTTTTAGCCCCATCAGCCCATCCCTGCAGGAGCCTTTAACTCTCCCTGCACATGACAGGTCTGAGCCGCAGCGGCTTCCTTCTATCTGGGATTCCCATCGAGCAGCGAAACAGACGCCGCTCTGACTCCCGACTGTCCTGCTCACGCCGCCCCCCCCCGACCTGGCCCTCCCCGACCCGGCCCTCCCCTCCGTAACCTTATATCTAACCCAGAGCACCAGCTGGGAAGCGGCGAGTCCTCAGTACGACCCACACGCTTGAGGGCCTGGTCCGGTGCCCCCCCCGCCCCCGGCCCCGCACACGCCTGTCTGTCCCGCCTTTGTTATAAAGCAGCGGAGTGCTGGGAGGAGGCCGTGTACAGAGACGGCAGGCTGTCTGTTCCCTGCTGCCAGGAGGCGTGGCTCTCTGTCGGCCGTCTGACAGCTAAACAGTGCCGCATGATTAATGGTCTGTCTGCTACCAAAGTGGCTTCCGAAGGGACTGTGGTGTATCAGTAGTACACAGACACAGACCCCCCCCCCCATCCCCCACCCTGATATGCGGTTCTTTTTCCTTGGCCACAAACCACTCTCATGCACCGTCCACACCCCCTGATTACAGACACCGACCTCTCGCTCCGATCCCAGGTTAAAGCTAAGAGTCTATGAATGGATATTCCTTCACTGCCGCCCCCCCTATCAGAGAGATCCGTATGTGCGATGGGAGCACTTTGCAGCATCCCACCGGGGGGAGCGGCGGGGGGTGTCGTCAGGAGGCTTTGGTCGGCCTCGCTGACTTCTCAGCCGGTTTCCCCATCAGTAGTCAGTCAGGCCGCCTCGGAGGCCGGCAGGAGCGTATGGTGCCGCGCGGTCAGGCCGCCTCGGAGGCCNGTCAGGCCGCCTCGGAGGCCGGCAGGAGCGTATGGTGCCGCGCGGTCAGGCCGCCTCGGAGGCCCGGCAGGAGCGTTATGGTGCCGCGCGGTCAGGCCGCCTCGGAGGCCGGCAGGAGCGTATGGTGCCGCGCGGTACGAGGTCTCGCTGCCGCGCGGTACGAGCTCTCGCTACCGCCTGCCACTTCAAAGGGGAGGAGGAGGAGAGGCAGGGGCCTGGCCTGGCGCATCCATCTCTCTGCGCTTTTGTCCCGCCGCTGTCACGATACACGATCGGGCTGCATTATCCGGCTCACCGCTTCGCTGAAAGGCCGTGTGATGCTGCTATCCATTACCGCCGCCCCGGGTCGGGAAGGACCCGCCTGCCCCCCCACCCCCACATACTCCATTGTGTAATCAAATGGGACACACCTTTGGGGAAACCCAAAATGTCAGGGAAGTTCTCCCACGTTAATAGGCTGCTCATTAACCAGGGAGGGGCGCTTACACTTTAAAGGTTCCGACGACGGCAAATCAGCAGTGGCCGAGGCTGGAGAGACAGCCGGCAACCGACCTCGGGAGAGGAAGCCGTGAGTCTCCTACACCCCCCCACGCAAGGCCCCCAGCTGCGCAGATCACCGTCACAGACCAGGCGAGCAGCGGAACGGCACATGAGGTTTAACGTCCCGTGACTAAGTGAGTCTCTTAAGCGCTCGGTCATCGACACCGTGACGCTGAGGACACCAGAACCACGACTCGGGTATTCTCACTGGCCGCACCGACGGGCCGCACAAGAGCTGGACCGGGCTCCAGCGGGAAAAACCAAAACAGATGGGAGGCACCCAGATCACTTTTCCAAAATGGAAATGATTCTGTTGTTCACCTGGGGGCACAAACAGGAATTCTCAAAAAAAACCACAAGCATTAACCTTAATCAGTATCATATTCTGAAGACACAAAGAATGTGTTGAGGTTATTAGGCAGGGGAGACGACGTTATGGAAAGAGGTATTTATAATATGTCTGGCATTAGGCTTACTCTTAACCCAGAAAGCTCATAGAAAATCGTTTTGAAAGAAAACAACCCAGGCCCTTCAGCGCAATAAAGGATAGGGGGTTTCTTACAAAAAAGGAAAAGAAAAAAAATATACAGTTAAGGCACACAAACACGACACAGTGAAATGCTTTGGTTACTCAGAAGCTAGAGACAGGTACAGAGATACGAGAGTCAGTGATGTAACACCCACTTTGATGTGGGGGCTGCACGTTCCCCAAGATGAAGCCTCAGCACAAGCAGAACAGCAAGCATCTGATCTCTTGCCCGTTTTCCTATGCAGTGAAGGTGTGACTGTTACGCTCATGTTAAGCTAATCCTGGACCGAGCCACTGCTGCCAGTGGTCTGTGGACTGGACTGTTCATCACCCCCAAGAGCTGGTCAAACATGCAGGCCGGACCAGCAGGTGGGTAGACGGGAGACTGCCAGCCCTCACCAGTGACCATAACGAATATATCAGCATGTCAGTGCTGATGATCAACCAGGTTCACACCTCCTGTCTGCGCAGTTTCCTCACTGCGCTGTTTTTCCAGTGACACCACAGTGCCAAATTAACCTTTCCCGCACCCTCCAAGGGGACAGACACATCTGCATGTGTCACCAGTACAGCCGGATGCCCAAACTGTCACGGCACCTAGGACTGGCCAGAGAAGCAGAGGGTGACCTCGCAAGAACAGCCAACAACATCTCTAAGGAAATGGTGCTTTTAAACAAAGTCGGGGCTTTAAAGCCATTAATGCACATTCTTCTGGGAATGGCAGAGGACAGCAAGGAGGCGTTCCCATGCCGTGGGAAGGGGGGGCGGCCTTCCTCTCGCAGGCAGACGGCGTCCCGTTGGATGAACTTACCTTGGTGAAAAACACAGAGAGGTGAGTCTCACTGCCAAGAATCCAAACAGGGAACTTGGGAGACTTCAGAGAGGCACCAACCTGCAAGAGATACAGAAAGCAGGCAGATTTCATTTCAGCGCAGACACGAGGATAGTCACACACACTCACACTCACACACACTCGCACACGCACAGGGCTGTAACATCACTGATTGTACTTTGGCATCCACTCAGACAGCCTGAAATAGCTGCAAGTTAGCGACGTATAAAAGCTTTTATTAAATAAATAGAGAGACAGGTTTGTAAGGGGGATGCTTTCGTGCTGCATGGAGGAGGGGCCCTGGAGACTTCCCAAATATAAAAGCCAGCCATGCTGTGTAATGACGGATCTCTCCATCAACCAGACACCCAACTCTCATTAGATTTTAAAATCCGCTGAGAGATTAACTTGCCTAAAAACACTTTGGCAGCAGCAGCGGGGGGTTGCACAACATTTACTTGCTAGTTTGTTTATCTGTCTGGCAGCATTACATGGGGGGCAGCCAGTGCTGTCTATTATCAGTTCGCTCATTTTCAGCTGGTGTGATTTAAACACTACTCAGCTGTTTTAAACCCTGGGTTCCATTAAATCCAGTAAAAATGGCACCCTGACACTATGAGCACGGATATACTGCACTGTAACTGCACATGCAGGTAACACTGGAACCCAGTTAATCACAGGCTGTCGAACCCAAGGCCCCTTCAGGAGATGCAAGAAGTGCAAGGGAGAGCCAAGCCAGGCAGCATTGTGTGTGAGACACCAAAGGATCCAATTCAGGCGGCACCAACAGTGCAACCACTGAACCTGTGATGTTCTACCCAACATGCCCCGCAGTGTGACGCCTACCCCCCCTCCCACATGTGCGCCTCCAAACAACAGCTCAAACCTGGGGGGGGGGCTGAGCGGGGCAGTCAGGATCACCAGCAACGCCCCCAGAGCAAATAACTCGCATTTCATACAGAGTGCTGCATTTCCTAAAAATACCAGCAGGCCCATTTTAGTCAGAGTCTTGTGGACCAGAACTGGCAGGTTCTGAGGGTGGGGGTTGGGGGGGGTCGGCCTGGTCTTTCAGCCCCCAGCAGGATGCGTCACTGCATACCATCCGCTGAGAGATCCTCATGTGTTCACTTTGGGCCTTGGACTTCGAACCCTGACACGGCAAACGGCTCACTGGCCGAATGTCTTACGCTGCCCCACCCAAAGGTCGAGAAACAGCTGGCAGTACGAGCACATGTTACGGGACAAGGAAGTGCAGACAGTTAAAGGTAACCTATGAAGCATGAAAGCAGGGAAACAGCTGGGCTCAGACCACCAACCCCGGCCGCACATACACCTGCCTGAAGGGCAGAGAGGCAGGTCTCTGAGGACTCATACCTTGCAGTAGCGTAGAGACTCCATCAGAGTGAGGAAGCCCACAGTTGCCTGCTCATGAATGCCGTGCAGCTCTGAAACAGTCAGGCCGGTTAGAATTAAGGAAAGCAAAACAGAATCTGCAAGGGGTCCTGTTAACATTACGCAATTTTCAAATATAAAAACCATACAAAATACAAATATAGAAACCATACAAAAAAAAAAAAAAAAACACACAAATGTTTTTGTTCAGAAACTGTTCCGCAAATAAATTCAAAGTTCTGGACCGCAAAAAACAAAACAAAAAAAAACACCTAGCTGTCATTCATAGTCAAACACTGCCATCTAGTGGCTGAAAAGCACTAGAGATCAGACCAAAATACCCTTTCTGGTTCTGCTGCCATGTGATGCACAATGAGAAAACCCAGAACCCCCTTAGAGCCTCTCAGGCAGACATCTGTGCATGCAGGCCAGACCTCCTTTTACTTTAGCATATTCAGAAGCGACACCGACTCTACCAACAGAGTCACATCGCTTACTCATTCCAGAGCATTCTCTGTCTCCATCCCACACATTGGACACGGCGTGTCCGGTAACGAGGAGGTTGATTAGACTCTGACTAGAGAGAAACAGAGGAGAGAAGTAGATTAAGCCATGAAGAACGAATCTAATCGGAAAAAAAATATCAAAGGGTGTATGGCCAGATCCTACCTCCCGTGGCCGTAGACCGGATCAATCAGAGGCTCTAATGTGTCTTCAATTTCATTCTTTATGTTTTCAATGCCCTGGAAAGCAAGCAGTGAGCAGGGCTGATGTAAGGCAGAAGGACGCAATGGGCCAGGATGTTTGGCTTGAACTGAAAGTCACACGCATGGGATTTCAGCGTGTGACAAAGAGACAGAGATGCACTGGACTGGTGCTTTACTGGAGTTACACTGGAGCTGAAGACAAGGCCACTGCAGTTAGATGAGGCCGCAGAGCACGCACCCACACGCTCCCCAGAACAGGCATCAGACGGCCCCCTGGGACACACCTTAGTCAGTATGACGGAGTACAGAAAGAGCAGCACCCCAAACTTGTTCCTCCACATGTCATAGAAGGACAGCACAGCTTCCTTCAGCTCCTCCACGGTCTTCAGGGTCCTCCTCCTGAAACAGGGGTGCGTGTTATTCATGCACGTCAGCTTTAGCTGTGCGCCACAGTCCCATCTCCCCTTAGGTTCCCCAAAAATCAGGGTCACCTGAAAAACCCATGGGCATAAAACCCCGGATCATGACTGACAGGTGACAAAACTGGATTAGCCAATCAGCACTGGATAGGAGGAGTCAGAGCACGTCCATCCAATGGGAGTTCTCTCTTACAGTTATTGCTGACATTAGCATTTTTAAGTGTATTAGTATTTATGTGACTTGGTGCAACTTGTGTGCCAGCAAAACAGAAGCTTTTAACTGGAAGCGTTGTGGTGAAACACAATCATGACAGATATGTGGGAAAACTGAGTGAATGAGTCGCTCATAGCCATTAAATGCAGTATGTCATATTAATGCCGCATGTGCAACAAACTCCTCACCCGTTAGTATGCGGAGCTGTGTGTAAAAATATGCAAGGTTGCATGTTTCAAAAATGTAACTCAACAAACTATACCTAAAAAACAATGAACGCAACAAATTTTATAAGACTGGAACCATGGAGCGCCTGAAGGAAGTACCAGTGAAGGACCTTCCACAGGCGGTGTGGTCATGTGTCTGCATATGGGGCAGAGCGTGTGACGCTGCATCGCGGGAAGTGGTGTAGAAACCTCCGAGTGTTCACTTACTGAATGACGGCGTGAAACCGCTCAAAGCCAAGCTGATCCGCCCCGAGTGCAGCTGGGCTCACGCACACACAAGGGAAAACGGCATGCGTCAGAAAAACAGCGTGACCACAGGCCACATGCGCTGCACCACATAAGAGAGCAACTGCGTTTGTAGGATGATTCGACCCCTTCAGTGCAATCAGCATCGTCGTTCTTAAGGTAACTGCTCAGTCAGCCATATTCTTCCTTTTCATTAATAAGACATTTAAGGACAATAGCAATTCATCTTTAGATGCTGTTAATTCACATACAACTTTTAAGTATAAAGCATAATGTCACGCAGGTGTGTCTCACAGGGTTGCTGGCCCTCCGTCGGCTGACTGGACTCTGGGTGGCCGCCTGGGATTTCCGAGTCTTCCAGCATCTTCGCTCTGGACCACACGGCCAGGCAGTAGGACTCGGCCTTGTGGAAACAGGCGGTTTCCAAGATCTCACTGAGTGTGTGACAGAGGGCGACTTTCTGTTCATCCTCTGTTGGGGGATGATGAAGAACGAGACAGCATCTTCAGTTCGGGCACGGCGAACTCCGACATGGACCGGTACATCATAAGGAGCTTACAGATCAGTTTAATAGAAAAGAAATCCTACACAGATAATCTCAGATAAAACACCTTCCAGTTACTTAAAATATATATATATAGGCAGGAGCTAAGGATGAATGTAGCATAACACTTAGGGAGAAACAACCTGAAATCTCTGGCCAGCTGGAGCCTTCGCAATTAAACAAGACGTTCTTCAGTAGGAAGGCCTGCAAGGGGGTAAGGGAGTGACCATCAATGAACTGGAGCCAAAAATGACATTTCACAGGACACCTGGCCATGGCAGCACCCCTTTAGAGGACGGAAAGACATGGGGCCAAGCACCTAACCTCTCTACTTCATACAGCTAATGGTCACAGTCACAGCCACAAGCAGCCCGTCATCAAACAACCTGCCGACCTGCAACCAGCTCATCTCCATATCAGTACTGCCATCAGGCTGATGTACTACCCTATATGCTTTACATACATATTAACATAAGTCCACATAATGACTGACTCAACTGTACTCCAGTCAAATACGTGCTATTGTACTGTCCAGGAATATTACTGCTTTCTTTCACTCCAGTGACAAACTGATGTTCTCCGATATATTTTTGATCGAGAGTTAAATGCTTCGCGGGACTTGCGTCGGTAAAGCAGACCTGCACTGGGGCGATCACGGCACACGGTCCGCCCTCCAGTTGCTCCAGCGCGCTGGGCTCCGTCTGGCTGAAGACAAACCCTTTAAAAACATTAAGAGAGGGATTCATTCGGCATCACTCACGCGTTTGTGGGCAGCAATCGGACTGGTAATAAACACTTGCAGAGTACACTCACAAACAGTTGTCACTAAGACACCTCGATCTTAAGGGCACAGGGCGGGTAGGTGACACACATATGATTGCTATGAGAAACATGACAGGCATGTGACACACGCGCAGGACAGACACGACAGGTGCCCCGGGGACGGCAGATCCGTACCTTGCGTCCATCTCCTGAAGGGAGTCTCCGTCACAGCGCTGCAGCTCGGCCTTCCCCACACTAGCTCCACTAGGTCTTTGTTCATGTCGGTCATTTTCGTACCGGTTTATGATCGGCCTTCACGGCAGTTATACAAACACCATTAAAACTCAGACACACACAAGATAAGGCAGCCCAGCCTCGTCGGGCGCGGCCAGACACGGACAGCACGGTTCCTCAGCTCCCCTCTAGAGGCCACAGGCCGAGCGTCATCGGCCACACCGGTGTCCCCCGCGCGGCAATAAGAGGCCTCCCCGTCACGGAGAAGTGTCCACATATGTACAGGCGGCGACGCCGCAGCGGCCGGACAGCTAGCGCCGGGGGGCGACCAGGGCGGCCGCTCCGTCCAAAGCGGCTCCGGGCGGCGCTCCGACTCGGTGCAGAGGAACGGGACTCCGGCGAGGGGCGACAAGGCGCTTTAAAAGCGCATCCGGACCGGCGAGCAGAAGCGGGCCCGCCTCACGCAACCCGGCCACAAAGCCACCAGGCCCAGCTGGAATTACCGCATAAAACCCGCCAAGTGCGATGACCGGGGGAGTCGGACTCTGCGCCGGCCAAAGGCTCCGAGCGACAGGGCGAACTAAGCGGCGCGGGAGGAGTTTTATGCCAGTATTTTATTCCAATAAGGCAGCCCTGCTCTCGCGGATCTCAGTATTTACTACAACTACTATGAACGTGAGTAAGACGCCAGCAGCGCCCGGCGATTGGTCCAAATTTAGAGCGCCCCTCCCACACACCACGGCGGCAATGGATTGGTCCATATCCGGACCGTTCGCCGTACGTTACCTGTTCGTACAGCTTATCTATTGGCTAAACAGGACATCAATCGCAGGCGCATCTTCGTCTCCATTCTTCCCGCCTTCGTCTGCTCTGGACCAGAAGCTGCTGTATACATTAACTTTTACAGTACTGTCCCAAATTTTACATTGTAAGCAGAATCACTATGCCTAACAACCAATACAATATCTCACAATGTGATTCTTTTCAATGTAACTATGTGTGAATGCACGCTATTATTATTAAACATGTCAGTTTTAATTGTTCGAATTTTAATAAACCTTTTCAAGGAGCCCGTTTCACGAATCAGGATTTCTCATTTAGCCACATAACTTGTAGGATTTGAAGGTAGTCTAGGCTAAATGTAAGTGATCGAAGATAAAATGAATTTAAACGGCGGTAAATTAAACCCGACACGTTACCCGGCTAAGCAAGAAATCTAGCTTCATGAAACAGGCCCCAGGAAGGTACCGGACACCGATGACAGAATAGTAGTATTTCCGAACATTTTAAAGTAAGTTCTTTTTCTTTAATTTTATTTTTCGTAATTTTTTTTAAATAAAAATGTCTATTGTACTATTTACGACATGTCCATTTCATTTGTTTTCAAGCAATAAACTTAAAATTGAAAATAATACGACGTAGCACACTTAGTTGATTTTCGATCGTCGTTTATCTCCAGTCCCGCACCGCATCTCTCCGCACTGTAATGCGGCCTGAGCGAAAGCTATAAAGGAGTAAATCCGGCACTGTTTGTCCTTCTCGTCTTCCGTAGCTCAGCGGAAGCAGACGCAGATTGCTTCGTTTAGCGAATTTGTTACTAGACACTTTTAGCCAAACCGAAGTGGGCAGTACTGAGTTTTTACAGCAATACAATGGGAGGTCAAGCGAAGAAGAAAAAGAAAAACAGGAGCAGCCGAAGAGAAAGACCCCAACAGGGTGATCTATCTCTTTCAGTTGCATAATTGTAACTGTACAGATGTGGCATGTGTGGTTATCACGTGTACGGGCTCTTTAAACTGCGGACTGTACCACGTTGCCAATGTTGTTAACATGCTTCATCGTCGTGCCGGAGTTTATTGGTGTCCAGCAGGAATCTTAACTGTAACAACCGTATTTTACAATTATTTACTATAAATGTTAAGTTTTATTGTCTATATAGTAAAGTGAAACTTTTGTCCAGAATGTAAAAGAAAATGAAACGTAGAACACCAGACAAGAACACTAGACAGAAACTGTTCACATGCACATACAAAATTAGTATTAGGAATGGAATCGGGAAATAATGGTTGTTTAATGAGGAATGATGCTTGTTATAGGTACAAATGGTAGATCCCAGAGGTCTTTGTAAGACTTGCGTTGAACCTTCCTGACATGTATATTACTGAAACTATTGTTCGCTTAGACTCCAGACTAACAGTCCAAGAGCGTGTAAAACTGAAGATGCAAGACAAAGCAAAGAAGAAAACGGCGGAGAGGTACACGGCAGAGCAGCTACTGGAGAAGGTAGTAGGGGGGCGGCACTTTCTGGGGACACCGCCATGCTCGCGGCACTTTCTGGGGACACCGCCATGCTCGCTGTTTGCACATAGACACCGTTTGCTTGTTTTAGACCCAGGAGTGCATGGACAACTTCGACTTCGAAATGGCCCGGCTTTTCTGTCAGCGCGCGCTGGATATAGAGCCTACCAACCTGAACACCCTGGACATGCTTGGGAACATCTGTGCTGAGCTGGGGGACGTGGAGAAAGCTAAGCAAATATCCATTTCCGCGGTTGAGTTGGGGAAGTAGGATGGATGGACACTCAGAGTGAAATGGGTGCTGGTAGGTGTAGAGTGACTGACGCTCAGAAACCATGAGGAAAGCAGCTTCAGTAGGTGTGTAGAGTGACTTGATACTCGGACGCCCTGAGGAAAGCGGCTGGGGGTAGGTGTCTAGGGTGACTGATACTCGGACGCCCTGAGGAAAGCTGCAGGGAGTAGGTGTGTAGGGTGACTGATACTCGGACGCCCTGAGGAAAGCGGCTGGGGGTAGGTGTGTAGGGTGACTGATACTCGGACGCCCTTGGGACTACAGTGTGTGTGTGTATATGTATGTATGTATGTATGTATGTATGTATATATCTGTAATAACTGGGCAGTGATGCCTCACACTCTCAGTGCTGTGGGTTCGAGGTAGTTTCATATGGTGTAGATGAGTTGGTGTGTTTGTGTTAGTCTGTCGTCTGCACTGGTGCGTATGTATGGCTTAGTTCTGTTCACACTCTGCTTCCTGAGTTACGACCATCTGATCCTAACAGAATAGGGGTAACTGAAAGCTTTTGAGTTTGTGTTAGTAATTATCTAGCTATTAGGCAGTGGGTGTTGTATAAACACCCACACTGACAGGCTGAATGCAGTCACCTGTGATGCTTGTGTATGATGTGGGTTTACATCTCACGTCCTCGGCCTGCGTGTCATGTCACCCTGCGAGGGCCTTTCCTTGACTGCGCCGTGCGTGTTCCTGAGGGCTGTAGAGCTCAGCCCAGATGAGGGCCACAGCAAGTACATGTACCTGGGTCAGATGCAGACCGGCAAGGAGGCCATCCAACATTTCAACAAAGGCATAGAGATCATGCTGAAGGAGCTGGAGAAGCAGGCGTTGGTGGTAAGTCCGCCCTCTCCCCGTAGGGGTAGGACTGCCAATCGGCAGAGAGCGGGGTCAGCCCGGGCCCGTGTGTGGTATGATTTCCCTGGCAGCCGTGGGATTTGAACCCACAACCTTACCGACACAGGCGGACTCATTCTTTTGAGCTACATGCTGCCCTTTATCAGTATTGTATCCACTCCCTTACTCTTAGCCTCAATGAAAAGTGGGAATGCATTGTAATTACGGCGCTGATGAACCCCACTTGCCGAATTAATGAAAAACCTCTAGGAAATTGTATCTTCCTCAAACTTAATTTCTTAGCCGGGCACCAGGGGGCACTGTAGCCTAGATAACAGCTGCTCTGTGGGCTGATTTTGGCTTTTTCAAAGTATGGTCTCCACTCTGATGCCAATATGCCTGGTACCTGTACCCCCTCCTCTCTCCAGGCCCCCCCGGTAGCAGCAGCCGCTGCTCCTGTAAACCGCGACCCCGAAGTGACCGCAAAGGAAATGTCAGTGGCCTTCTGTTCAGTAGCAGAGATCTATTTCACTGACCTGTGGTAAGTCCTCCCCGTTGCTGTGATCTGGCAGCCAAACACGATTCGCTAACAGGGATGAGCGGTGCGGATGTGGGCAGCAGGGTTGCCAGATGACCGCGACCGACTGCGGTTAACTGGAACAAAGAGCGAGGCATTCCTTAGTTCTGTTTCGTAACGTTCATCTTCGTGTGTTTAATCATTGCGTCTTATTTCAGTTCATGGAAAAACTTAATGTCATCACTCCAAATTGATAACAACTCCCCACTGAGTGGATCCAATGATTTCCCTGGGATACATGACGGGTTCTGCTGGGCTCACCGCCCCGCACCAGGCCCTGAACCTGCGCTGTAGGTCTGGCTTGTCAGCTGGCACTGCCCTTGCCCCCGAGCGGCCGCGGGGCACCTTTGGGGGGGCAGGATGCTGCCAGCGCTACTCGTCCTCCTGGCTCTGCTGCCTCGTGTGTTTGTTTCAGGGCCGTTCATTTTTGCTTCATCTAATATTTATGCTCCGTCCTCTGCTTTATTTACTTTGCTTTATGAACCCCTGAAGGGAGGATGTTTAGCATTTTTTGTTAAAAATGGCCAATAAAGGGCCTTTATTGGAGATATGTGTCCTCTGTAAGGTTTTATTAATCGGGGTTTAAATTAGCTGGTATTTTGAAAGTTTAAAACAGGAGATTTAATTAACGTCAGTGAGGCATCTGCTAAAATTTAGAGATAGGGCTGCTGGTTTTCTCTGGGGCCGGCGCCCCCCCCCGGGGTCTCTGGGGCCGGCGCCCCCCCCCGGGGTCTCTGGGGCATTCAACGCGTGGCTGTCTATAGCTAGAGCCAGCCATGTTTCCAATTTATAAAATTTATAAAATTATTTGAAGGAGTTTTCAGTTTTTCATCTGGCTAACCGGCAATCTGGCCGCGACGGGAGCTGCAGATGGAGGAGGCCACCTGTGGGGTTATTCTCCACGTGCCGGGAAGGTGGTTTGGGAGATCAGCACGGGGCGTATGTGGAGAGAGGGGCAGGGTGCGGACTCTCAGGCGTTCAGGACGGCCTCCCTCGCGGACCGAGCGCCGTGCTGCTTCCTGCCCACTTTCGGGTCCTACTCTGGGCTGCAGGAGGGGCATTTGGGGTGCAAACCCGGATTCCCACATGGGCCCAGTGTGTGACGCACGCCTCTCCTCTCCTCACCATCCCCCCCACCAGCATGGAGGAGGGGGCGGCTGACCGGTGCAGGGACGCCATCGACGCGGCCCTGCAGTATCACCCTGAAGACCCTGAGGCCCTGCAGCTGATGGCCAGCTACCTGTTCAGCGTGGAGAAGCCCCAGGTGCCTGCAGGAGCCGCCGCCGGACGGGACTGACCTCTCCCATCCCATTAGGGCTTCAGTTACTTTGTTTTCTGAGTGTTTTCTGCCAGAGAGACCCACCTAAGATAGGAATATTTAATTTTTGGATTTTTATACCAAAGTGGTTTTATGTAATTCTGCCGTCCCAGGAATGCCGCTTTATAACCCCTTCCGGGTCGAGCGAGTCTCCCTGGGGGGGGGATGCTGCCAATGGCGCAGGGGCCCGATGTGTGGGCAGGGCCCCCCTCTCACGGTGTCCATCTTTGTAATGCATATCCTGTTCAGGGTAAGGTGGGGGGGGGGTCTGCACAGGGCTCATGATGGGGTATATCCTGACTAGGATGCCAGCCCAGTGTAATCCTCACATACATGCTCATAATCTCTTTTGGGGATGCCGTAAGCCTGGCTGTATGTTTGGGAATCCCAGGCAACATGGAGAACATGCAGAGCCCAGGTGGGGGGGGGGGGCAGCATTCACCCCCCTGGCTGGTGGCAGACCTGCCTGCTGAGTCACCCAGCTGCCCTTCTTCACATCTTCTGTCACACGTGTGGGGAAAGTGTACTTCGTGATAGGCGCGAAATAAAGGTCTCTGTGGGCCTTCTGCATTATCATGTGCCTTCTCCAGCCGCTCGAGTAGCCGTGATGTATGAACGTGCAGAAATGTGCTTCTGAAGCCACAAATCAGCCGTCTCAGTAGCCGGACGTCTGCTGTGCTGGGCTCTGCATTTACGGCGGGGAAAATCAATGCCTCCTGGGAGACATTCTGTGGCTGTGTGACATTAAATCCACAGGGTGATCAGCGACGCGCTTTGCTGTAGTGACTTCTCTTGCCACTAGATGGCGAAGTGGTTCAAGGTGTTGTGTCTCTGGCCGCTCAGGCATGCTGGCTCCCACTGCCCTCTCCTTCCTTGGTTTGTGCCATCCATCACTTTGGTGGGGGTGCTGTAGCCCAGATAGTTGTGCCCCTCAGATTAATTTAAACACCTGCCCACTTCTCACTGTATACCTTCTCACTGTATACCTTCTCACTGTATACCTTCTCACTGTTGCTGGAAAAAGACATCGGTTCAGTTTCCACTCAGACTGTCCTTTTGGTTGAATNCAGTGAGGCATCTGCTAAAATTTAGAGATAGGGCTGCTGGTTTTCTCTGGGGCCGGCGCCCCCCCCCGGGGTCTCTGGGGCCGGCGCCCCCCCCCGGGGTCTCTGGGGCATTCAACGCGTGGCTGTCTATAGCTAGAGCCAGCCATGTTTCCAATTTATAAAATTTATAAAATTATTTGAAGGAGTTTTCAGTTTTTCATCTGGCTAACCGGCAATCTGGCCGCGACGGGAGCTGCAGATGGAGGAGGCCACCTGTGGGGTTATTCTCCACGTGCCGGGAAGGTGGTTTGGGAGATCAGCACGGGGCGTATGTGGAGAGAGGGGCAGGGTGCGGACTCTCAGGCGTTCAGGACGGCCTCCCTCGCGGACCGAGCGCCGTGCTGCTTCCTGCCCACTTTCGGGTCCTACTCTGGGCTGCAGGAGGGGCATTTGGGGTGCAAACCCGGATTCCCACATGGGCCCAGTGTGTGACGCACGCCTCTCCTCTCCTCACCATCCCCCCCACCAGCATGGAGGAGGGGGCGGCTGACCGGTGCAGGGACGCCATCGACGCGGCCCTGCAGTATCACCCTGAAGACCCTGAGGCCCTGCAGCTGATGGCCAGCTACCTGTTCAGCGTGGAGAAGCCCCAGGTGCCTGCAGGAGCCGCCGCCGGACGGGACTGACCTCTCCCATCCCATTAGGGCTTCAGTTACTTTGTTTTCTGAGTGTTTTCTGCCAGAGAGACCCACCTAAGATAGGAATATTTAATTTTTGGATTTTTATACCAAAGTGGTTTTATGTAATTCTGCCGTCCCAGGAATGCCGCTTTATAACCCCTTCCGGGTCGAGCGAGTCTCCCTGGGGGGGGGATGCTGCCAATGGCGCAGGGGCCCGATGTGTGGGCAGGGCCCCCCTCTCACGGTGTCCATCTTTGTAATGCATATCCTGTTCAGGGTAAGGTGGGGGGGGGGTCTGCACAGGGCTCATGATGGGGTATATCCTGACTAGGATGCCAGCCCAGTGTAATCCTCACATACATGCTCATAATCTCTTTTGGGGATGCCGTAAGCCTGGCTGTATGTTTGGGAATCCCAGGCAACATGGAGAACATGCAGAGCCCAGGTGGGGGGGGGGGGCAGCATTCACCCCCCTGGCTGGTGGCAGACCTGCCTGCTGAGTCACCCAGCTGCCCTTCTTCACATCTTCTGTCACACGTGTGGGGAAAGTGTACTTCGTGATAGGCGCGAAATAAAGGTCTCTGTGGGCCTTCTGCATTATCATGTGCCTTCTCCAGCCGCTCGAGTAGCCGTGATGTATGAACGTGCAGAAATGTGCTTCTGAAGCCACAAATCAGCCGTCTCAGTAGCCGGACGTCTGCTGTGCTGGGCTCTGCATTTACGGCGGGGAAAATCAATGCCTCCTGGGAGACATTCTGTGGCTGTGTGACATTAAATCCACAGGGTGATCAGCGACGCGCTTTGCTGTAGTGACTTCTCTTGCCACTAGATGGCGAAGTGGTTCAAGGTGTTGTGTCTCTGGCCGCTCAGGCATGCTGGCTCCCACTGCCCTCTCCTTCCTTGGTTTGTGCCATCCATCACTTTGGTGGGGGTGCTGTAGCCCAGATAGTTGTGCCCCTCAGATTAATTTAAACACCTGCCCACTTCTCACTGTATACCTTCTCACTGTATACCTTCTCACTGTATACCTTCTCACTGTTGCTGGAAAAAGACATCGGTTCAGTTTCCACTCAGACTGTCCTTTTGGTTGAATTTGCAGGAGTGCTTAGTACTGTTTGTATGAATAGACTGATATAGATCCTTTCCCAACATGATCACTGATACTTATTGGGGGAACTGAGGTGGGCACTCTCCTTCTACTCCAGGAGGGGAAGGAGTTCCTGATGAGGAGCGTAGGAGTGTGGCTCCCCCGGCACCAGCAGGAGGCAGAGTCTGTCGAGGGGGAGGAGCACCGGCAGGTGAGGTGCAACCAATCACACCACATCTCCACACGTGATGTGAACATGGAGAAAGCCAGCAGGTGCACTGTTAGCGCTGCTAGCTAAACACAAAGCCAACCAGTACACTTCATCGGCATTGCTAGGTGACTACAAAGCCAACCAGTACACTTCATCGGCATTGCTAGGTGACTACAAAGCCGGCCAGTACACTTCATCGGCATTGCTAGGTGACTACAAAGCCGACCAGTACACTTCATCGGCATTGCTAGGTGACTACAAAGCCGACCAGTACACTTCATCGGCATTGCTAGGTGACTACAAAGCCGACCA